ATAAAGGAAATAAAACATTAGGTTTTGTCCTGAGACAGTGCAGTGATTTTAACAATCTCAGGACATTTGTCACACTATATTGCTCACTTGTAAGATCTATATTGGAATATTGCACTGTGATATGGTGTCCATATCGTGAAACAAATGCCCTGAGATTGGAAAAAATCCAAAAACGTTTTATTAGATTTCTATGTTTTAAATTAAATATCCATTATAAAGCCAGTAACTATACAGATCTTCTTCTATATCTAGGTTTACCTTCTTTACATACACGACGAAATTATTTTGATATCTGTTTTCTATTTAAAATACTAAATAATCTTTGCAATTGTCCGAATATTTTGTCCATGATTCATCTGCATGTGCCATCCCGTGATGTTCGTGATCCTATTCTTTTTAGCGTTCCGCACCATCGTACTGACTATGGTAAAAATACTGTGTCACCTCGACTTTGCAACCTAGCCAATAAGCACCGACACGACATTGAATTTTTTAATGTGTCTTGTAAACGTTTTAAATGTAATGTAAAAACTGTCCTCAACATGTAAATACAATTTTGTAATATTGGCTTAGCCGTAAATAAAGTATTATTATTATTATTTTGTCCAATTTTTGGGATCTTTTTATAGCATTTTTGTAACTTTTTTTTAGTTTTCTTTTGTCACCTCAGTCGGCTTTTTGTTCCCATTTTTTCTTCTAGCAACTTTTTCTTTTGGTCGAAAATTGGTCGTATTTTGCATAGATTTGTAATTTTCAAAGGACGATTCTGGAAAAACCATTGGAGTTATCGAAGAAATGAAAGCGGGAGTGACTTCTACGGCCCCAAATCTACAAGAAAATGTATATAGTGAAATTTCGAAAATTTTGTTGAAAATTGGTCGAAAATTGGTCGCATTTTGCATAGATTTGTAATTTTCAAAGGACGATTCTGGAAAAACCATTGGAGTTATCGAAGAAATGAAAGCGGGAGTGACTTCTACGTCCCGAAATCTACAAGAAAATGTATTTAGTGAAATTTCGAAAATTTCGTTGAAAATTGGTCGTATATTGCATAGATTTGTAATTTTCAAATGACGATTCTGGAAAAACCATGGGAGTTATCGAAGAAATGAAAGCGGGAGTGACTTCTACGGTTCGAAATCTACAAGAAAATGTATTTAGTGAAATTTCGAAAATTTCGTTGAAAATTGGTCGAAAATTGGTCGTTTTGTAATTAATTTTTTTTATGCTTTTTTGACGCCCTTTTTTTTAATCGCACTTTTTTTTGTACTGTTTTGTTATTATTTTTGTCCTCTCATTTTTTTTTGTTAGTATACATTTTTGTCCTGGCGTTTCTTTGATTCCTTCTTTTTATAATTTTTTTTTGTTTTTTGTCACCTCTGACGTTTTTTGATTGCGTTTTTATTGCCCCCTCAATGTGTTGATGTTTCCTTCCTTTTTTTCTCTTTTCATTTTCGTTAGCTTTATGATATCCTCTTTTTCGCATTTATTTTGTCGTTATTTTTAGTAGCCTTATTTCGTCTTTGTTTATCCCATTTTTGTAGTATTTTTTTGCTTTTTCTGCTCCCTATTTTACCTAGATTCTTTTTATTGCATTTTTGGGGTCTTTTCATCGTCTTTTAGTCACTTTTTAAATTTTTTGTCCCGTTTTTGACACTTGTTTTCTTTGTTGCTATTTTTATCAACTCTTCGTTTTTTCTCTTGTTTTTTGTTACATCTTTGTCGTTATTTTTAGTAACCTTTTTTTGGCTATTTTGTCTCGTTTTTTGTGTTTTTTTTGTGCCGTCTTTGACTCCGTTTCTTTAAACCCATATTTTTTAATTTTTTTGACGTCTTTATTTTGTTATTTCTAGCACTTGTCCCTTTTTTGTTTCTTTTTTAGTGTATTGCTTTTTTCTCCATTTTTTTTTCATTTTTCGTGATCGTTATTTTTATCTCCTTTTTTCGCATTCGTTTTGTCCGTTTTTGTATTTTTTTTTGTTTTTTTTTACACACAATTTTTTGTCCAATTTTCAGGATCTTTTTTATAGCATTTTTGTCACTTTTTTTTTTTAGTTTTTTTTTGTCACCTTCGTCGATTTTTTTTTAGTCCCATTTTTTCACTCTACGTTGTCGCAATTTTTATCACCTTTTTTTCTCCTAGCAACTTTTTCTTTGTCTCGCTTTTATAGTTTTTGTTCCGTTTTTTGACTCCCTTTTTTTAAATGCAATTTTTTTGTCATCTTTTTTGCTTTTTTTGGCGCTTTTTTGTCACATTTTTATTGTCCCCTCGGTGTATTGTTTCTTTTCTCTTTTTTGACACTTTTTTTTTGTTTTAATTTTTTCACATATTTTTTGACATTTTTTATTATAGCTGTTTTTAACATCCCCTTTTTTCGCCCTTTATTTCGTCCCATTTTTGTGTTTTTTTTTTTACTCTCTGTTTCTAATTGCATTTTTTAGCGTCGTATTTTGTCGCATGCTTTTTTACCGTTTTTCCTTGTTTTTTTGTCTCCTCTGTTCCATTTTTATTATTTTTTCACTTTTCTTTGGCATTACTATTTTGATTACCCGTTTTTTTCTCGCGTCTTTTTGTCACCTTTTTAGGAGTCTTTTTTTCGTTTTTTTTTTGTTCCGTTTTTTGTCATCCTTTTTTGTTTTTGTACTATTTTCATCAGCTCATTTTTTCTCGCCGCCCCTTTTTTTAAATGCATTTTTTGTCATCTTTTTACTTTTCTGTTTTTTATTGTCCCCTTAGTGTGCTCTTTTTTTTTGCTTTTCGTTTCCGTTGATTTTATTACCTCCACTTTTCCGCATTTATTTTGTCACTATTTTTATTAGCCTTTTTTCGCCTGTCTTTATCTTCTAGTATTTTTCTAGTTTTTTTTTCAGTTTTCCATTTCCTCTTTTTAATCGCATTCTTTTTGTCGCATTTTTAGAACCGTTTTGGTCACTTTTTCTATTTTTTTGGCCCTTTTTTGACACTTTTCTCTATCGGTATTTTTATCACTCTTTGTCTTTTCTCTTGTTTTTTGTCGTATTTTTGTCGCTATTTTTAGTAACCTTTTTTTGTCTCGTTTTTGTAGGTTTTTTATACCGTTTTTGACTCCCTTCTCTTATACGAGTACGTATATTTTTTTAACATCTTTGCTTTGTTATTTCTGGCACAGGTCCCTTTTTTTGTTTCTTTTTTTAGTGTCCCCTCACTGTGTTGCTTTTTCCCCTCTTTTTTTTGGTTTTTCGTAATCTGTATTTTAACCATCTCTTTTTTTTTTCTTATTCCATCCCATTTTTGTTTTTTTTGTTTGTTTTTTTGCTCCCTCTTTTTTAACAACAATTTTTTGTCCCATTTTTTGGGATCTCTTTTATAACATTTTTGTCACTTTTTTAGTTTTTTTGTCAGCTCAGTCCCTTTTTTGGTGCCACTTTTTCGCTCTACTTTATTGCTATTTTTTTCACCTTTTTTCTTCTCACGTTTTTTTGTCTCAATATCTGGCGTTTTTTGTTGCATTTTTATTGCCTCCTCGATGTATTGTTTCTTCTTTCTTTTTTGACACTTTTCTTTGTCTTTATTTTTGTGTTTTTTTTTCGTTTTTTTTACTCCCTGTTTCTAATTGCATTTTTTGCATCGTTTTTGTTGCACGTTTTTTTTTGACCGTTTTTTATTGCTTTTTTTGTCACCTCTGTTCCATTTTTGTTATTTTTTCATTGTCCCCTTAGTAGTTGCTTTTTTGTGTCCTTTTTGACACTTTTCTTTGTCTTCATTTTTATGACTTTTCTTTGGCATTATTATTTTGAATACCCGAATTTATTGTGTTTTTTATTGTCCCCTCAGTGTGTCGTTTTTTTTTTTTTCTCTTTTTTATTATGCTTTTCGTTTTCGTTGATTTTATCACCTCATCTTTTCCGCATATGTTTTGTTGCTGTTTTTAGTAGCCTTTTTTCGCCTTTACAATTATCCTTTTTTTGTGGTCTTTTTTTCTTTTTTCTAATTCCTCCTTTTAATCACATTTTTTTTGTCGCATTTTTAGGGTCTTTTTATCACTTGTTTTTGTCACTCTATTTTTAACTTTTTGTCCCTTTTTTGGCACTTTTCTTTGTCGCTATTTTTACTAACTTGTTTTGCCTTTTTTATCTCCATTTTTTAATACATATTTTTTTGCAATCTTTCTCTTGTTTTTTCTGGCACATGTCTCTTCTTTTGTTACTTTTTTATTGCCTCTTCAATCTGTCTGTTTCCTCCTTTTTTGGTTCGTTTTTCGTGATCGTTATTTTTATCATTTTTTTTCCGCATTCGTTTTGTCCCGTTATTGTAGTTTTTTTTTTGTGTATTTTACCCCCTCTTTTTATAACTAAATTTTTTTCGTCCTATTTTTGGGTCTTTTTTACAGTGTTTTGATTACTTTTTTCGCTTTTCTTGATCGCCATTTTTTCTCACATTATTTGTCGCCTTTTTTTTGCTTTTTTTGTTACCTTTGGCGTTTTTTTGTTGCATTTTTTATTGTCCCCTCAGTGTATTGTTTTTTCCTCTCTCTTTTTTTGTGACTATTTTCGTCTTTTTTGTCTCATATTTGTATTGTTTTTCGCTTTTTTTTTTACTCTTACTAATAATAATCAGTAATAATCACAGTTTTACCGTATTTTTTGCCGCGTTATTTCCTGTTTCTTCAGCTATTTTTGTTGCTTTTTGGCGTAACAGAGCACGCAGTTTATATAATTTTTAAGTCTGTGATTAAAAAAACCTTGCTTACCCTAACCGATGTTACGCTACTGGCAAATATGTTCCCTTATTTACATTATCTGTATCTGTTATCATTATTTATTGTTTAAAAAATTTTACAGCTTATGTTAACAACATGTTGATAACAATTATGAATGACAATTTCATAACGCTGTTATTGATATCAACATTCTCTCGGCACGTTATCTCTATCTGTTATCACTAATTATTATCTAGATATTTTTATAGCATTTATTTATTTAAAAAATGCAACAATTACAACAAATATTTACTCCTCACAATCTCGCAGTATGGACGCCACTGACCGCCAACCTATCCGTGCGTGGTCCCTACTTTATCGACCGAATTATGACTTCTTGTATTGACGTTGCTGTCAAGCTGTCAATTCGAACCAAAATCAAGAAATAATTCATCAATACGTTAATTATAGCCCGTTTTAAGTGTTTTAAACCCTCTTCGTACGTCTAATTCAATCACGGAAAAAATGTAAGTAACCAATGTGATACAAAATTCGCATTAATTTGGTTATCTGTGACCAGTGTTGTGGTCACTAGACTGGCTCTCCCCACAAGAGCGCACTCACGTGAGTTCGATTATTACCTTGCAGACTCGTGATTTTGGCCTCAAAGTTAAAACCACCAGCACCACCCAACCTGGACAAAATTTCATAAAACAGAAGAATTAAGGTAAGTACCATTAAATTTAACCCATTTCTGGTCTTAATAATTCGTGATAGCAGTGGGCGGCACCCAGATCCGAAGAATGAGGGCGATATTGGGTTACACCTTCGTCGGAACCGCAACCGCGGTCATAACAATCCTCTCCTTTTACCACGTCTTGACGGGAAAAGGCGAAAGGATCAGCTTTGGCTGGTTCCTCGAGAACACGTCCCCCTACATGTGGGCCACCATCGGAATAGGGCTGTCTGTGGCCCTCTCGGTCGTGGGGGCCGCGATCGGGATCCACACCACCGGCGTCAGCATCATCGGCGGCGGCGTGAAAGCCCCCAGAATCAAAACCAAGAACTTGATTTCGGTCATTTTCTGTGAAGCTGTGGCCATTTACGGTCTGATTACCGCTATCGTGCTGTCTGGGTACCTGGAGGAGTTCACTTATGCGAGAGTCGTGGGGAACGAGGAGCTGAAGGCTATCAATTGGCTCGCCGGGTATCTCATGTTCGGGGCTGGAGTGGGCGTCGGGTTCGTCAATTTGTTCTGCGGGATTGCAGTGGGCATCGTGGGGTCGGGGGCGGCGTTGGCCGACGCCGCCAACGCGGCGCTGTTTGTCAAGATTTTGATCGTGGAGATTTTCGGCAGTGCCATCGGGCTTTTTGGGCTGATTGTGGGGATTTATATGGTGTCGAAGGTGTCGATGGGTGATAAACAGGCCTAAGTATTCACTGTGTGATCTATGTACTCCTATGTAAACTTAATTATTGTGTATATATTACGTACAAGTTTATTTAAGGCGTCTCTAGTGTAGGTTTGATGGGGCTTTTAGAAATGTTGGAGACCATGAATCTCGATTAGGAATTAAATTCTCATCTTTTATTCTCTCATGGAAACTTGAGATCTGTGCAAAAGTTGAGTGAGAAGTTATTGTTATTTGTGTAATTATTTCTGATGATGTATATTTGTTATTGTTAAATATTCAGATTGTAGTAAACTTTAAATTAAATGATAGACGTAAATATTGTTTTTTAATTGGTTGAAGGCTATTTAGATAAAGCTTACCTTATCCTTGAAACACAAGCAAACAAGTCCGGACTTTACAATAAACTATTTATTTAATTTATTTAAACAAAAGGCACAAAATTATAATTTATAATAGTTGATTTTGGGACGTCAACATATTAAAAAAAAAAATACCACACAGACATGCAAATAATTTTACACATTTTAAACAGGATTTACTTAACCAACTTGAGGTGACGTCATGGAAACTTTGGTGGGGATAAACAAATAAATCGAGATTAAATAAAGGCCACAAAAATGCGAAAAAAAGGGAACAAAAAACTCGCATTTTCTGTTTTTTTTTCTTTTTTGTCGTTGCTCTTTTCTTTTTTTTTTTTTTTTTTGTACATTTTTTGTGGACTTCTTTTTGGGGTGTTTTTTCTCCATTTTTCCTTCTTTTTCACTTGTTTTTTGTCGATTTTTTTGTGTCTTTTTTTCATTTTTTTTCCCTTTTTTAACTTTCCTTTATTTAGATCACAAAAAATTTACAAAAAATGAGAACATAAAAAAGGTCAGAAAAAATTGTGACAAAAAAACAATTGATTTGATTTATTATGCAAAAAACAGTTACAAAAAAAGGTAAAAAATACAAAAAACTGGCAAAACAGATTTAAAAAAGTGCCCCATCAAAAAAGGCAATAAACAGTAACAAAAATGCGATGAAAACAAGGCAACATAAAAAACTATGGCTTGGCTTGTCGGAAAAAAAGAAGTCAAAAAAACAAAAACAAAAAAGTTACAAAAAATGTACCTTCAAAAAAAAACAAACAAAAATATTTTTTATTATAAAAATTCCTCAAAAGAGGGAAAGAAATTCTGAAATAAAACGACAAAAAAGTTACAAAAAATGTATCATGAAGAAGGCGACAAAAAAGTCACAAAAATGCGAAAAGTGTGCACAAAAACAAGATAATAAAAACGATTAAAAATATCAAGAAATGCGCCATAAAAAAAACGGCGACAAAAGAAGTTTATGGCTTTTTTGTTGCAAAAAAACGATATAAAGGTGACTAAAAGACGCCAAATAAAGGTCACAAAAAGCGATCAAAAAATGTCGCAAACGCCGACAAAACAGAATAAAACACAGATTTTATAAAAAAAATCCACAAAAAGAGAAAAAATTCACTTTTTCAATATTAGGAGTTGAGAAGTTTTTCATTCTTCAATTATTGGATTTTAAACCCTTTCATTTATTCGACTTTTCAATTTATCATTTCTTCAAATTATCGATTTGAAATTTTTTATTTACTTTATTTTTACACTTTTCGATTTTTCAGTGTTTCGATTTTAATGTTTGTTTTTTCAATTTTTTTATTTTTCGTTTCTTCATTTATTCGATTTACAGTTTTTGAATTTTTCTCCTCCGAGTTTGCATTTTCAAATTTTCAGTTTTTCGATTTTCCAACCTTAAATGCTTCAGCAATTAGATTTTGCAATTTTTGATTAGCAATTTCACGAATTTGAAACTTTTAATTTTTCAATTTTTGGATTTGCACTTTTTCGTTTCAGTTTTTTATTTTCTTTATTTTTTAAAATTTTTCAATGTCCTGATTTTACAATTTTTCTTTTTTTTTAATGTGAAAATTTTTCGATTTTAAATTACCCAGTTTTCAATTTTTCGATTTTTCGGTTTAAGAATTTTTAATTTTTAGTTTTTTCATTTTTACAATTATTATCAGTCTCCCGATTTTTCAGTTTTCGATTCTTCAATTTTTCTAGTTTTTATTTTAAATTTGTAATAATTTGCAATTTCAGTAGTTTTCAACTTCTAATTTTTCAGTTTTTCGATTTTTCAATTTTTGATTCTTCAATTTTTCTATTTGCACTTTTTCGTTTCAGTTTTTTATTTTCTTTATTTTTTTCAATTTTTCGAATTTCAATGTCCTGATTTTATAATTTTTCTTTTTTTTAGTGTGAAAATTTTTCTATTTTATAGTTTTTCATTTTTTCGATTTTTCACTTTTAGAATTTTTAATCTTTCGTTTTTTCAATTTTACATTTTATCAGTCTCCATTCTCAATTTGTCTAGATTTTTTTTTAATTTGTAAGAATTTTAATTTAAAAATAAAATCCACTTTTTCAATTTTTCGATTCTTCAATTTTTGATCCTCAATTTTTCTAGTTTTCATTTTAAATTTGTAATTATTTTAATTTAAAATTTTTTCACTTTTTCAATTTTACGATTTTAGAAATTTTCCATTCTTCAATTATTGGATTTTTAAACTTTTTCATTTATTCGACTTTTCAATTTTTCGGTTCTTCAATTTGTCATTTCTTCAAATTTTCGATTTGCAATATTTCGTTTCGGTTTTTTATTTTCTTTTTACAATTTTTCGATTTTTCAGTGTTCCGGTTTTATAATTTTTGTCTTTGCAATTTAAATTTTTCTACTTTTTCGTTTCTTCAATTTTTCAATTTATAGTTTTTGAATTTTCCTTCGTGCTTCAATTTTACGATATGCAACTCTTTGAATTTGCATTTTCAAATTTTCAATTTTAGGATTTTCCAACTTTTCAAAGTTTCAACATTTAAATTTTGCAATTTTTGATTTACAATTTTATGAGTTTCTAATTTTTTATTTTTCTATTTTCCAATTTATTATGTTTCAATTTTTCGTTTCGGTTTTTCAGTGTTTTGATTTCTCTTTTTTTTTTCAAAGTGAAATTTTTCAATTCTTGGATTTTTCATTTATTCACTTTTATTTATTCGATTTTTCAATTTTTTGATTATTTTTTTTTTAATTTGTAGATTTTTTTTCAATTTTTCGATGTTTAATTTTTTGGTTCGTCGCTACTTAATTTTTCAGTTTTTCGATCTTCCAATGCGACAATTTTTCGATTTTACAAATTTTCACGATTCTACAATTTTTGGATTCGAATCGTTTTTGTTTCTTTCAATTTTTTTAAGTTTCCCGATTTTTAGTTTTTCAATGTTTTAATTTTTCGTCTTTTCAGTTCTTCGAATTGCAATTTTTTAATTTTTCACTTTTTCGATTTTTAATTTTCAATTTTTCAGGTTTTCATTTTTTCAATTTTTCGATTCGGTTTATTTCTTTAATTTTTTTAAATTGTCAGTTTTAAAATGTGATGATTTTTTCTTTTTTCAACCTAAAATTGTTCAATTATTGGATTTTTCAATTTTACGGTTTCCAATTTTTCAATTTTAGATTTTTTAATTTTTTGTTTCTTCAATTTTCAATTTGCGATTTTTCTAGTTTTCACTTTAAATATGCAATAATAATTAATTTAAAAAAATCTCTCTTTCGTTTTACGATTTTAGAATTTTTCCGATTTTCAATTATTGGATTTTAAAACTTTTTCATTTATTCGATTTTTCAATTTTTTAATCTTTCAATGTCACAATTTTTCGACTTTCCAATGTTGACGATTCATTAATTTTTTTCGATTTTAAAGTTTCTCGATTTTCGGTTTTTCAATTTTCAATCTTTCGTTTCTTCAATGCTTTTGGGATTTTTCGATTTTTCCACTTTTTCTGTTTGCAATTTTTCGTTTATTCAGTTTTCAGATTTTTCAATTTTTTTCCGACTTTTTCGTTTTTTCGGTTTTTCAAATTTTCGATTTTTCAACTTTTTGAACCAAAAGTTATAATAAAACTTTGAAAAATCTAAAAATTGGAAATCAAGGACTGAAAAATTGAAGAAACGAAAAATAATAAATCGAAAGATTAAAAACTAAGAAACTTGAAAATCGAAGTCACAAAAACACTACAAAAGGGCACAAAATAAAAAATAGTCAAAAGTTATTTCGACAGAACTTCCCTCATCGAATAATCGAAAAACAGTGGAATATTGAGAAACCAAAAAAGTAAAAATCAAAAACTGGAAAAAACCGAAAATCGAAATCCGAAAAGATTGAGCAATGGAAACATCAAAAAATCGGGAAATTGCAATATCCAAAAATTGAAAAATCCAGAAATTGGACAAAAACTTGAAAACACGAGACATTTAAAAAATCGACTAAATTTCAAAAGAACGTAAACTCGAAAAAAGTGAAAAAATAAAAATTTAAAATTCGAAAAATGGGTAAATCGAAAAAACTAAAATTTAAGAAGTTGAAAATTAAAATATCGGAAAATTGAAAAATCTAAAATTTTAAATTCGAAAAATTGCAAAATCGAAAATCCCAGAAAACAAAAATTTAAAATCGCAAAAATCAAGAAACGAAAAACCGAAAAATCGAGAAATCGAGAAGTCGAAAATTCGAAATATCGAAAAATTCAAAAACTCAAACATCAAGAACTCGAAACACTAAAAGATCGAAAAATCGAAAGCCGAAAAGTTGAAAATACGAAATAGGCCAAAATCGAAAAATCGGATTAAAAACACAAAAATTGATGAATTTAAAATTGAAAAATTTAAAATTGAAAAAAGAAATCGATAAATCGAAAAATCTATAAATTGAAAAATCAAAAAATCGAAATTTCGAAAAATTGAAAAACTTAAAATTTGAAAAATTTTAAAACTGAAAAATTGAAAAACCCAGACACCGAAATACCAAAAAACTCAAAAATTTAAAATTAAAAAATTCCAAAACTAAAATTACGAAAAATTGGAAAATTGAATAACTGAAAAAGCGAAAAATTGGAAAATCGAGAAGTCGAAAATTCGAAACATCGAAAAATTCAAACACCCAAACATCAAGAAATCGAAACACCAAAAGATCGACAAATCGAAAGTCGAAAAGTTGAAAATACGAAATAGGCCACAATCGAAAAATTACAAGTTACAAAAAAAGCGACCAAAAATAAGATTGTGACTTTTTTGTCAACAGAAAAAAGTGACTTTTTGTTCAAAAAACAAAACAAAAACAAGTCACAAAAATGCGACAGAAAAACAAGAAAGACGTCCATACAAAAAATGTGTTATATTTATATTGCAAAAAGCCAGTAAAAGATTTAAAAAAAATGCACCATAAAAAAAGATCAAAAAGGAACAAAAATTGCGATTAAAAAAAGTTATAAAAAAGCAACAAAACAAAAAGAAAAATAGATTATAAGAATTCCATAAAAGAGGGACCAAATTCTAAAAAAAGAACTACAAAAAAATGCGATAAAAAAGACGGACAAAAAAAAGGTTGTAGCTTGCTTTGTCACAAAAAAAGATAACAAAAAGTCACAAAAAAAATCGTAAAAAATGTATTAAAAAACGCCAAAAAACAAAATAACAAAAAAGCGATAAAAAAGCGACAAAAGACGATTGAAAAATGTCAAAAAGAGGCGACAAAATAAGAATTTTAAAAAATACATAAAAAATGTGACAAAAATGGTTAAAAATTGGACAGATGAGAAAAAAGCTTTTTTTCTCGCAAAAAAACGATTAAAATTACGTTACAGGTGACAAAAAGACGCCAAATACAAAAAATGCGACAAAAAAGCGATAAAAAATGTCGCAAAAGGGGGCAAAACAGACTAAAACGCAGATTATAAAAAAAGAGATGGTAAAAAATTTGACGAAACGACAACATTTGTGAACATTTTTCAATTATTCGATTTTTTAGTATTAAATTTTTTAGTTTTTCGTTTTTTCAATTTTGATTCTTAATTTTAATTTGTAATAACAATTTTTCACTTTTTCAGTTTTAGAAATTTTCCATTCTTCAATTATTGCACTTTTAAACTTTTTCATTTGTTCGACTTTCAATTTTTGGTTCTTCAAATTTTCGAAATTCCGAAAATCGAAATCCGAAAAGATTGAGCAATCGAATCATCAAAAAATCGGGAAATTGCAAAATCCCAAATTGAAATGTTGAAAAACTGAGAAATCGAAACCTTGAAAAAAACAAGACATTTTAAAAATCGACTAACCCAAAAATCAAAAACCTGAAGAATTAAAAATTTAAAAATTCGAAAAATGAGTAAATCGAAAAATCTAAAATTTAACAAATTGAAAAATTAAAATATCGGAAAATTGAAAAATCCAAAATCTAAAATTTAAAAATCGAAAAGCCGAGAGTCGGAAATTCGAAACATCGAAAAATTCCAGAACTGAAATTACGAAAAATCAGAAAATCGAATAACTGAAAAATCGAAAAATTGGAAAATCAAAAAGCCGAGAAGTCGAAAATTCGAAACATCGAAAAATTCAAAAACTGAAAAATCGGAAAATTTAAAAACGGAAAAACTGAAAAACCGAGAAGGCGAAAAATTGAAAGATCAAGAAACCGAAACTCCATAAAACTCAAAAATTTAAAAATCCAAAAATTGAAGTATCAAAGAAGTGAAAAATCGAAATATCGACAAACTGAAAAATCTAAAGCTTTAAAAATTGAAAAATTAAATACCAAAAAACTGAATAATCGAAATAATGAAATATCCCAAAACTGAAACATCGAAAAATCTAAAATTTAAAACATTGAAAAATTGAAATATCGAAAAATCGAAAAGCCGAGACATCAAAAATCCAAAATCGCGAAAACTGAACAATCAAGAAATTGAAAAATTGGAAAATCCAATGATTAAAAAAAATTGGAAAAAAGAAAAGCTAAAAAATCGGAAAAATCGAAACATTGAAAAATCGAAAAAGTATAAAATGAAAACTTTGAAAAAGGCTTTTTTAGGTGACCATTGCAAATATAATCGTTTTAGATCTCCAATCACGTCCCTGAAATGTCACTTTTTCGTATTGAAATGTCAAAATTACTTTTTTTTGGACTCATATGTCACTTTTTTGTACTCAAATGTCAAAAATAACTTACTTTTGCGTCCTTGGCCTTGTGTTTTTGTCCAACATTCCAACATTTTTTAAATAAAGAAGCCAAGTGTCGTTGCCAAACAAAATCTTTCTGATGGTGAACTCCAAATTAATGAATATTATTATGAAACAGTACGGTACCAATTTTTATAACCTCAAAACCACTTACATAACCAATTATTATTTATTATTATATTGTGATTGTGTGAACTCTCGGCCGAAAAAGTTCTTCTTTATGGCCTTGATACACAAGTAACTAATTTGTTTTTGTCATCTTTTTAGATTATAAAAACACCAAAAAATAGGCAAAGAGTCACAACTGTAAAATATAAAGCATACGTTTAAAGTCGGTTTTTTATTTACTTTATTTTTATTTTTTTTGCAATTCCATTAGTTTTCGACTTTTAATTTTTCAATTTTTTATTCCGCAATTTTTCGTTTCGGTTTTTCAATATTTTCATTTTATAATTTTTGGATTTTCCAATTTTTCGATTCGTACATTTTTCCTTCTGGCATTTTTTTAAGTTTCCTGACTTCTAGTTTGTCAATGTTTCAATTTTTCGTTTTTTCAGTTCTTCGAATAAAAAAATCGAAAAATTGCAGAATTGTAAAATCGAAAAATTAAAAATGAAAAATCGAAAAAGTAAGAACGAAAAATCGAAAAATTGGAAATGAAGGACTTGAAAAATTGAAGAAAAGAAAAATTAAAAATCGAAAAGTGACATTTACCAAACAGAATCCTTTTTTGAAGCTCTTTTTGTCACCTTTTTTGTTTATTAATTTTTTTAAAGTATTCATATTGTTTATTTATCTTCTCGTAGTCTCCTTGCAGAACCCCTCACCAGCGTCGTCCCAGAATCGGACCTATTTTTCCGCGACGAATTCGAACCCCTCGACTGCGAAATGAAAAAAATGACCCTGTTAATGGACTTCGACGAGCCTTCCACCAGACACAAAACGGCTTCTTTCGACAACTTACTAGAGTACGACGACGTTCGGTAACAAAACCAAAAATTAAAAAAAAAACATAAAACGAACAAAATTCCAGTATCTCTCTAGCGTCCATGTCCTCCAGATACAGCGAAGACTCGCGATACTCCGCCAGAGTCCAGAGCACCGCCACCAACGAAAGCATCGAGTACGAACACTTGAAGCCCTGCCTCTTAACCATCGAAGCCCTCAGTACGTACAAAAAAATCGAGAATGTATTTAATAATGATTTCTAGGACACTACAAGAAGCACCACAACAAGAACTTCTACCAATCGCAAGTCGAGGAAAAAATCTACGAGCCCGGCATCATCGCGTCCAGCGAGAGGTGAATCAAACCAAAATAAACCAACTCCGTCTAATATTATTATTCATTCAAGAGTTGTGCGAATGTTGGCAAAAATTCTGCATGTTGGAATGGACCCAGACAGGAGTAGTGCTTGCTATCAACCAACTATTTTTACGTGCTCGTCCAAAACCCCGTTCTTTTTCGAGCTCTTCTCGAGGACCATGTGGCTTCTTTCGAAAACGCGACGCGAAATGAAAGCTTCCACCATTCACGACTACGATAAAGTTTGTACAAGTTGATTCCGACCAGTTTGACCTGGCTTAACCCATCGTTGTTTGACGCACTAACATGCATACCCTTCCAGGTCGTCTACGTCTTATCAAAGCAAGTAAAGCTTGTCTTAGACGAGAAACCCATGGACTTGAAAAAATTAACTGAAAAGTTCGCGCAAATTAGCTATCAGACGGTCATGGAGATATGGCAGGTATTTCAGGCGCGACGCCACTGACTATATTGCTATTGTTTGTGTTAAATATGCAGTTAAGGGGACTCGCTAGACGAGGTATAACATTTTTTTGGTTTTTTGTATGAAAAATTGATATTAACATAGATGTATCATACATCAAACTGCAGCTTTTTTCGTATTCTAGAGCGCAGAGACCAGTTCAATCAATTAAAAAAATATGGCTGAGAAATATCGTAAAAAAGCACCATTGTATGTTTGCTTATTTTCAGTTTTCCGATTTCTAAAGTATTTTTTTTTATTTGTCCGTTTCTGGACTTCCTAAAGTTTCGATTTTTCACATCTTCAATTCTTCAATTTTTCGATTTTTTAAGATCACGATTTTTCAATTTTGCTTTTTTAGATTTTCGATTTCTCAATTTTCCAATTTTTTAATTTATCAATTTTTTTAATATTTCTTTCAGTTATGAAATTTTTCAATATTTCAATTTTTCGACTTTTCGATTTTTGAATTGATGGATTTTTTTTCATTTCTCAATTTTTCAATTTTTAACTTTCCTCAATTTCTCGATCCTCCGATTTTTCGTTTTCTCGAAGTCTTGGTTTTTGAATTTTTCGATGTTTCGATTTTTGGATTTCTCGGTTTTTAGATTTTTTTCTTTTGAGCTTTTCAATTTTTGGATTTTCCAATTTTTCAATGTCCCGATTTTTCAATTTTTCAAATTGAATTGGATTTCTCGATTTTTCAATTTTGCGATATTTTAATTATTCAATGTTTTAAATTTTAGAATTTTCGATTTCTCGATTTTTGACTTTTCAGTTCTTCAGTATTTAAATTTTTCAATTTTTCAAATTTTTGCGTTAAATTTTCAGTTTTCTGATTTCTCAATTAATTTATTTTTGATTTTCCCACTTCTCAAAGTTTCGATTTTTCAGTTCTTCAATTCTTCGATTTTTCGACTTCGCTTTATTGGTTTTTCGATTTCTCAATTTTTGGATATTTCTTTCAGTTTTGATATTTTTCAATACTTCGATTCTTTGATTTTTCGACTTCTAGATTTTCTATTTTTTATTTTTGGATGTTCAGTTTTTTGTTTTTTATACCTTAGATTTTTCAATGTTTCGGTTGTTTTATATTTCAATTTCTCAATTTTTCAAATTTTCCATATTTTAATTTTTAAATTTCTAGATTTTTCGGTTTCTCGAGTTTCCAGTTCTATATTTTAATTCTTCAAATTTCCGAATTTTTAAATTTTTTGAGATTTCAATTTATTGAGATTCGGATGTTTCGATGTTTTGATTATTCAATCTCTCGCTTTATCAATTTTTCCATATTTAAGTTTTCAATTTTTCGATTTTGGCCTATTTCGGTTTCTCATTTTTTTTATTTTTCGCCTTCTCTATTTTTCGACTCCTCGATTTTTTTGTCTTTTGATTTTTCGGTTTCTCGACTTCTAGATTTTCTATTTTTAATTTTTGGATTTTCAGTTTTTTGTTTTTTATACTTTAGATTTTTCAATGTTTCGATTGTTTTATATTTCAATTTCTCAATTTTTCAAATTTTCCATGTTTTAATTTTTAAATTTCTAGATTTTTCGGTTTCTCGAGTTTCCAGTTCTATATTTTAATTCTTCAAATTTCCGAATTTTTAAATTTTTTGAGATTTCAATTTATTGAGATTCGGATGTTTCGATGTTTTGATTATTCAATCTCTCGCTTTATCAATTTTTCCATATTTAAGTTTTCAATTTTTCGATTTTGGCCTATTTCGGTTTCTCACTTTTTTTATTTTTCGCCTTCTCTATTTTTCGACTCCTCGATTTTTTTGTCTTTTGATTTTTCGGTTTCTCGATCTCTCAATTTTTGAATTTTACAATGTTTCGATTTTTCGATTTGTTGGTTTTTCGATTTTTGCTTTTCGGTTTCTCGATTTTTCGATGTTTAGATTTTTGATTTATCCGATTTTTCAATTTTCCTATTTTTTTAATTTTCCCCTTTTCGATTCGTTGATTTTTCAGTTTTTCGATTTTTAAATTTTCGAATTTTTATTTTTTTGAATTTTTGATGTTTGGATTTCTCCATTTTTTTTTAATTTTCAGTTTTTCAATTTATTAACTTTACGATATTTCAGTTTTGCTCGATTTCGATTTCTCAATTTTTCGATATATTACTGTTGGGATTTTTCAATTTATCGATTCTTCGATTTCTCGATTCTTCAAATTTTCGGTTTCTCGAATTTCTTCATTTTTCGATTTCTCAATTTTCCGATGTTTCAGTTTTACGATTTTTAATTTTTTTTATTTTCCAGTTTTCAATTTTTGACGTTTCTAAATTTTTCGATTTCTCAATTTTTCGATCAACTGATTTTTTTATTTTCCCATTTCTCTATTTCTCGATTTTTCAATTCTTCCTTCAATTGTGATTTTTCAATTTTTCGATTTCTGAATTTTTCAATGTTTCAGTTTGGGATTTTTTCACAGTTTCGATTCTTTAATTTTCCTTCCAATTTTAGGTTTTTCAATGTTTCAGCTTTGAAATTTTGCAATATTTCGTTTCTTCAATTTTTCAAATTTTTGATGTGTTTTTTCGGTTTTTAAATTTTTCGAAATTTTAATTTGTCAGTTTTTAAAGTTTTAGGTTTTTAGATTTCTCATTATCTCGACTTTTCGGTTTTTCTGTTCCGTGATTTTTCAATTTGTCGAATTTTTAAATTTTAGATTTTTTGTTTCCTTTGATGTTTTGAGTTCTCGATCATTCGATTTTCTGAGTTTTCAGGCTTGGATTTTTTTTTGTTGTTCAATTCCTGGATTTTTAAAATTTTTGCTTTTTAAATTTTCCTATTTATCAACTTACTGGGATTCAATGTTCTGATTTTTTGATTGTTCAATTTCTCGATTTTTTGAATTTTTAGTTTTTGATGCGATTTTTTTTTTCAAAAATTTTCAGTTTTTCAATTTATTAACTTCACGATACTTCAGTTTTGCTCGATTTCGATTTCTCAATTTTTCGACATATTACTGTTGGGATTGTTCAATTTATCGATTCCTCGATTTCTCGATTCTTCATATTTTCGGTTTCTCGAATTTCTTCATTTTTCGATTTCTCAATTTTCCGATGTTTCAGTTTTACGATTTTTAAATTTTTTTATTTTTCAGTTTTGAATTTTTGACGTTTCTAAATTTTTCGATTTCTCAATTTTTCGATCAACTGATTTTTTTATTTTCCCATTTCTCTATTTCTCGATTTTTCAATTCTTCCTTCAATTGTGATTTTTCAATTTTTCGATTTCTGAATTTTTCAATGTTTCAGTTTGGGATTTTTTCACAGTTTCGATTCTTTAATTTTCCTTCCAATTTTAGGTTTTTCAATGTTTCAACTTTGAAATTTTGCAATATTTCGTTTCTTCAATTTTTCAAATTTTTGATGTGTTTTTTCGGTTTTTAAATTTTTCGATATTTTAATTTTTCAGTTTTTAAAGTTTTAGGTTTTTAGATTTCTCACTATCTCGACTTTTCGGTTTTTCAGTTCCATGATTTTTCAATCTGTCGAATTTTTAAATTTTAGATTTTTTGTTTCCTTTGATGTTTTGAGTTCTCGATCATTCGATTTTCTGAGTTTTCAGGCTTGCATTTTTTTTGTTGTTCAATTCCTGGATTTTTAAAATTTTTGCTTTTTAAATTTTCCTATTTATCAACTTACTGGGATTCAATGTTCTGATTTTTTGATTGTTCAATTTCTCGATTTTTTTAATTTTCAGTTTTTGATGCGATTTTTTTTTTCAAAAACTTTCAGTTTTTCAATTTATTAACTTTACGATACTTCAGTTTTGTTCGATTTCGATTTCTCAATTTTTCGATATATTACTGTGGGATTTTTCAATTTATCGATTCTTCGATTTCTCGATTCTTTATATTTTCGATTTCTCGAATTTCTTCATTTTTCGATTTCTCAATTTTCCGATGTTTCAGTTTTACGATTTTTAATTTTTTTTATTTTCCAGTTTTCAATTTTTGACGTTTCTAAATTTTTCGATTTCTCAATTTTTCGATCAACTGATTTTTTTATTTTCCCATTTCTCTATTTCTCGATTTTTCAATTCTTCCTTCAATTGTGATTTTTCAATTTTTCGATTTCTGAATTTTTTAATGTTTCAGTTTGGGATTTTTTCACAGTTTCGATTCTTTAATTTTCCTTCCAATTTTAGGTTTTTCAATGTTTCAGTTTTGAAATTTTGCAATATTTCGTTTCTTCAATTTTTCAAATTTTTGATATTGTGTTTTTTGGTTTTTAAATTTTTCGAAATTTTAATTTTTCAGTTTTTAAAGTTTTAGGTTTTTAGATTTCTCACTATCTCGACTTTTCGGTTTTTCAGTTCCATGATTTTTCAATTTGTCGAATTTTTAAATTTTAGATTTTTTGTTTTCTTTGATGTTTTGAGTTCTCGATCATTCGATTTTCTGAGTTTTCAGGTTTGCATTTTTTTTGTTGTTCAATTCCTGGATTTTTAAAATTTTTGCTTTTTAAATTTTCCTATTTATCAACTTACTGGGATTCAATGTTCTGATTTTTTGATTGTTCAATTTCTCGATTTTTTTAATTTTCAGTTTTTGATGCGATTTTTTTTTTCAAAAATTTTCAGTTTTTCAATTTATTAACTTTACGATACTTCAGTTTTGCTCGATTTCGATTTCTCAAATTTTTCGATATATTACTGTGGGATTTTTCAATTTATCGATTCTTCATATTTTCGGTTTCTCGAATTTCTTCATTTTTCGATTTCTCAATTTTCCGATGTTTCAGTTTTACGATTTTTAATTTTTTTTATTTTCCAGTTTTCAATTTTTGACGTTTCTAAATTTTTCGATTTCTCAATTTTTCGATCAACTGATTTTTTTATTTTCCCATTTCTCTATTTCTCGGTTTTTCAATTCTTCCTTCAATTGTGATTTTTCAATTTTTCGATTTCTGAATTTTTCAATGTTTCAGTTTGGGATTTTTTCACTGTTTCGATTCTTTAATTTTTCTTCCAATTTTAGGTTTTTCAATGTTTCAGCTTTGAAATTTTGCAATATTTCGTTTCTTCAATTTTTCAAATTTTTGATATTGTGTTTTTTCGGTTTTTAAATTTTTCGATATTTTAATTTTTCAGTTCTTAAAGTTTTAGGCTTTTAGATTTCTCACTATCTCGACTTTTCGGTTTTTCAGTTCCATGATTTTTCAATTTGTCGAATTTTTAAATTTTAGATTTTTTGTTTTCTTTGATGTTTTGAGTTCTCGATCATTCGATTTTCTGAGTTTTCAGGCTTGGATTTTTTTTGTTGTTCAATCTCTGGATTTAAAAAATTTTTGCTTTTTAAATCTTCCTATTTATCAACTTACTGGGATTCAATGTTCTGATTTTTTGATTGTTCAATTTCTCGATTTTTTTAATTTTCAGTTTTTGATGAGATTTTTTTTTTCAAAAATTTTCAGTTTTTCAATTTATTAACTTTACGATACTTCAGTTTTGCTCGATTTCGATTTCTCAATTTTTCGATATATTACTGTTGGGATTTTTCAATTTATCGATTCTTCAAATTTTCGGTTTCTCGAATTTCTTCATTTTTCGATTTCTCAATTTTCCGATGTTTCAGTTTTACGATTTTTAATTTTTTTTATTTTCCAGTTTTCAATTTTTGACGTTTCTAAATTTTTCGATTTCTCAATTTTTCGATCAACTGATTTTTTTATTTTCCCATTTCTCTATTTCTCGGTTTTTCAATTCTTCCTTCAATTGTGATTTTTCAATTTTTCGATTTCTGAATTTTTCAATGTTTCAGTTTGGGATTTTTTCACAGTTTCGATTCTTTAATTTTCCTTCCAATTTTAGGTTTTCCAATGTTTCAGCTTTGAAATTTTGCAATATTTCGTTTCTTCAATTTTTCAAATTTTTGATATTGTTTTTTGGTTTTTAAATTTTTCGATATTTTAATTTGTCAGTTTTTAAAGTTTTAGGTTTTTAGATTTCTCACTATCTCGACTTTTCGGTTTTTCAGTTCCATGATTTTTCAATTAGTCGAATTTTTAAATTTTAGATTTTTTGTTTTCTTTGATGTTTTGAGTTCTCGATCATTCGATTTTCTGAGTTTTCAGGCTTGGATTTTTTTTGTTGTTCAATTCCTGGATTTTTAAAATTTTTGCTTTTTAAATTCTCCTATTTATCAACTTACTGGGATTCAATGTTCTGATTTTTTGATTGTTCAATTTCTCGATTTTTTTAATTTTCAGTTTTTGATGCGATTTTTTTTTTCAAAAATTTTCAGTTTTTCAATTTATTAACTTTACGATACTTCAGTTTTGCTCGATTTCGATTTCTCAATTTTTCGATATATTACTGTGGGATTTTTCAATTTATCGATTCTTCGATTTCTCGATTCTTCATATTTTCGGTTTCTCGAATTTCTTCATTTTTCGATTTCTCAATTTTCCGATGTTTCAGTTTTACGATTTTTAATTTTTTTTATTTTCCAGTTTTCAATTTTTGACGTTTCTAAATTTTTCGATCAACTGATTTTTTTATTTTCGCATTTCTCTATTTCTCGATTTTTCAATTCTTCCTTCGTGATTTTTCAATTTTTCGATTTCTGAATTTTTCAATGTTTCAGTTTTGGATTTTTTCACTTTTCCGATTCTTCAATTTTCTTTCCATTTTTCAGTTTTTCAAAATGTCAGTTTTGAATTTTTTCACTTTTTCGATTTTTCAATTTTCCTTCCATTTTTCAGTTCTGGGATTTTGTAATGTTTCGGTTCTTCAATTTTTCCATTTTTTGATGTTTCGATTTCTCGGTTTTTCAATTTTTCGATAGGTATTTTAATTTTTCAAGTTCTACATTTTCCGTTAATTTTTTTGTTTTCCTTGATGTTTTGATTTGTCGATTATTCGATTTTTCAAGTTCTCGGTTTAGATTTTTTGGTTTTCCAATTCTTCGATTTTTAAATTGTTTAATTTTTAGATCGTTGAATTTCTCGATTTTTAGATTTTTCAATTTTTCGGTTTACCGATTTTTTTTTCATTTATAATGTTTCAATTTTTCAATTATTAAAATACAGAGCGTTTAAAAATAGAACTGTGCATTTAATTTGTCCCCTTAACCTTTACCTAAATAACAAAAAAACGGTATTAATAATACATTTAGGCGAATAAAGTAATAGACGGGATTGATAAGCCTTGTTTGCTCTACAGTGTCTAAATTGTGTTTTATCACTACTACTACTAATAAATAATAAACGAGTCGCTACTCGACGCAATAAACACGCTTTCCTTTCCAGAAAGAAAAAGAAGAAGAGTTGAAGAACGTTTTTGAACACAATCCAAGTGTCAAAGTTCTAAAAAAGCGCTTCCGGAAACAAAACGAACAAATAATTTACAAGCAGCGGATGAATTATATTAAAACGGGAACTATGTTTCCGAAAATTATCGAAAAGGTGGTTTTTCGCCCCCTTGTTAGTTTCATTACTATTATTATTTTTTTTGTTTTTGTTTTTAGAAAATCAACGGAAACTTTGTTGCTAAGTTGGCCCCAGACGAACGCAATTTGCTTGTCAACGATTACAACGTCATCACTAAAACTGCAGGCGACGTACAAGTGCATTCCCTCGCTGACGTCACACATATAGTGGAGGGGAAGGCTTGCCCTCACGTCATCAACAACACGTAAAGCATAATCACACATAAAAACATATACCTACCTACCTACACCTTGATTTTTTTTTCCAGCGTGAAGGACCCCCAACTCGCCTTTTCCATCCTTCTTAATAACAGCTTCTGGATTAACTTCAAAGGTGCCGATAAAAAAATGGCGAGTTATTGGTGTGACGCTCTAAATTTGCTGCTACGTGAGCGCGGCTGTCTCGGTTTGGCTTAAGTGTAAATTTGGGTTTTTAGACAAAGACAACCGGAGTTCTTATTATGAAAATGAATTGAAGGAATTGGTGGAAATGGATTTGGTTTTGCATTTGATTGAACTGCAGAATGTGACGATACCGAAAAAGGCGCCCCCTGTGCCAAGGCCACCGTTCGAAATGAAACCTGTGGTTCCGCCGAAGCCTAAGAATTATCCAGGCGGCGGGGTTAAGTGAAAATTTAGGAACGAGTTGGCTTAAATCTTATTATTTTACATATTTTTACATTTATGATAATAAATTTTTTATACTTTAGTTTAGTGATTCATCGACCAGTGGCGTACTTCGGTTTCCGGTTGGTGTTAACGCAGTTTTCTTCTCTCTTGTTTGTGTCGTTAAGTCGGTGTTTTTTCGCATTTTCTAACATTTTTTTACATTCACTTCAGTCAAATATCATAAAAGAATTATAAAGAAAGTAACTCATATAAAGGTATGTTTTAAATATTAAAATAAGAAACTTAATACTTAATTTAAAAAAAATAGTCGAAGGTTATTTCGACAGAACTTCCCTTATCGAACAATCGAAAAATTGAAACTGGAATATTGAGAAACAAAAAAGTAAAAATTGAAAAATTGAAAAACTGAAATTGCAGTATTCAAAAATTGAAATGTTGAAAAACTGAAAAATCGTTTAATCTAAAAATCGAAAAGTCGAATCATTTTAAAAATCGAATCACCGGTATGTCAAAAAATCGAAACATCAAAAAAACGCGAACGCAAACAATGTAAATTTTTACAAATCCAAAAATGAAAAATCAAAAACCCGAAAAATTAAAAATTTAAAAATTAGAAAAATGGGGAAATCGAAAAAATTTTAATTTAAGAAATTGAAAAATTAAAATAGCGGAAAATTGGAAAACCGAAAATCCAAAGTTAAAAAAAAAAATTGAAAAATTCCAAAACTGAAATTACGAAAACTTGGAAAAATCAATAACTGAAAAATCGAAATATCGAAAAATTGGAAAATCGAAGTCGAGAAATCGAAAATTCGAAAAATTCAAAAACTGAAACATCGAGAAATTGAAATATTAAAAGAGCGAGAAATCGAAATTCGAAAATACGAAATAGGTCAAAATCGAAAAATTGGATTAAAAACCGAAAAATAAAAAAAATATATATATTGAGAATCCAAAAATCAAAATCTAGAAAAATCGAAAAATTTACAAACCGAAAGATTGAAAAGCCGGTAATTCGAAAAATTGAAAAATTGAGAAATCGAAATACCAAAAACTCAAAAATTTAAAATTTAAAAATCCGAAAATTGAAGTATCAAAGAAGTGAAAAATCGAAAAATCTAAAATTTCAAAAATTGAAAAATTAAACATCAAAAAACTGAAGAATCGAAATATTGAAATATCGAAAAATTGAAAAATGGAATAAAAACTGAAGAATCGAAAAATTGAAAAATCAAAGTCGGAAAATTGAAAAATCAAAAAAACCTGAAAAATCGAAACTTAAAAAGTCGAGAAATCGAGAATTGGGAAAATCAAAGATCGATTTATCGAGAAATTTAAAAATCGTAAAACTGAAACTTCGGAAAATTGAGAAATTGAAAATTGATGAAATCGAGAAATCGAAAATTTGAAGAAACGAGAAATTGAAGAAACTGAAAATTAAAAAATCCCAACACTGAAATATCGAAAAAGTTAATGAAAAACGGAAAAATCCCAAAACTGAAATATAAAATCGAAAAATCGAAAAGCCGAGAAATCAAAAATCCAAAATCGCAAAACTGAAAAATCGGAAAATTGGTGTCTGAAGCAGTGAAAACAGGGAAGAAAAAGAGGAAAAGGAAAAAGGGGAATGGAAAAGGGGGACGAAAAGAGAAAAAATGAGGGAAAGAGGAGAGGAAAAGGGGAGACAAAAAACTAGAAACAAAGGGGGACATCGAAGCGACCAAAGGAGATCATAAAAAAGGGTAGAAAAAAATTCGAGGAAAAAATGGGGGGCGGGCCAGGGGTGAAAAGGAGGAAAAGCGAGGTAAAAAAAGATAAGAAAAAAGAAAAAAGGGAAGAAAATTTCGAAAAATCGAAATGTCGATAAATCAAGACATTGAGAAGTCAAAAAACTGACACATTAAGAATTTAAAAACTCAAAAAATTGAAAAATAGAAATATCGGAAAACTGAAAAACCAAAAATCGAAAAAACAAGACATCAAAAAAAATCGGAATACTGAAAAATCGAAAAGCCGAAACGTCAAAAGATCGAAAAATCGACAAATGACAAAGTTGAGAAGGCGAAATATTGTAAAATTGAAAAATCGAAATATCGAAAACCGAAAAGTCGAAAAAGTTTAAAAACCAAAAAATTAAAAATTGATAAATCAAAAATTTTAAAAATCGAAAAACCAAAATATCGAAAAATTGAAAAATCGAGAAATCGAAACAAAAAATCGAAAAATCGAAAAACTAAAAAAATGGCCAAATTGAAAAATTTAAAAGTGGGAGAAAAATTGAAGAAGCGCAAAATTGAATAACAGAAAAGTCGAGAAATCGAGAAACAGGAAAATCGAAAAATTGAAAAATCGTAAAACTGAAACATCGGAAAATTGAGGTACCGAAAATTTGAAGAATCGAAAAACTCAAGAATTGGAGAAGTTGAAAAATTCCAAAACTGAAATTATGAAAAATTGGAAAATTCAATAACAGGAAAATCGAAATATCGAAAAATTGGAAAATCGAAAAGTCGAAACATTTTAAAAAATCGAATAACCGAGATGTTAAGAATTAGAAACATCAAAAAAACGTTAAACTCGAAAAATGTAAATTTTTATAAATCCAAAATGAAAAATAAATAAAAATTCGAAAAATGGGGAAATCGAAAAATCGAAAAGCCGAGAAATCAAAAATCCAAAAAATAAATCGGAAAATTGAATCGAAAAATCGAGAAATTGAAAAATTCCAAAACTAAGATTACGAAAAATTGGAAAATCGAAAAGCCGAAAAATCAAAAATCCAAAAACTAAATCGGAAAATTGAATCGAAAAATCGAGAAATTGAATAATTCCAAAACTAAGATTACGAAAAATTGGAAAATCGAAAAGCCGAGAAATCGAAAATACGAAATAGGCCAAAATTGAAAAATCGGATTAAAAACTAAAAATCTGAAAAATGAAAAAAAAAAACGTTAAATCGAAATCTCGAAACATCGAAAAATTTAAAAACCGAAAAATTAAAAAATCGAAAAATTGGATAACCGAGAAATCGAAAAATTGAAAAATCTAGAAATCGAGGAATTGAAAAATCCCAAAACTTTGAAACTTCGAAAAACTGAAAAATAGGGAAATCGGAAAATTGAAAAATCAAAAACCTGAAATATCGAAAATCTGATGAATTAAAAAACTGAAAAATCGGCTTGAAAGGTCGAGAAATCGAAAATTGAAGTTCCGAAGAAGTGAAAAATCGAGAAAATGAAATATTTAAAATTTTAAAAATTGAAAAATTAATTATCGAAAAATTGAAAACTGGAAGAAAAATTGAAGAATCGAAAAATCGAGGAATTGAAAAATTCCGAAAGTGAAATTACGAAAAATTGGAAAATCGAAAAGCCGAGAAATCGAAAATTCGAAACATGGAAAAATTCAAAAACTGAAACATCGAGAAATAGAGATAATAAAAGATCGAGAAATCGAAAGTCGAAAAGTCGAAAATACGAAATAGGGCACAATCGAAAAATCGAAAAAAGTATAAATTGAAAAATCAAAAATTTTATAAAATTGAAAAATTAAATATCAAAAAACTGAAGAATCGAAATGTTCAAATATCCCAAAACTGAAATATCGAAACATTGAAAAATGGAACAAAAACTGAAGAATCGAAAAACCGAAAAATCGAGAAATTGAAAAATTCCAAAACTAAAATTACGAAAAATTGGAAAATTGCATAACCGAAAAATCGAAATGTCGAACAATTGGAAAATCGAAGAGCCTAGAAATCGAAAAATTCGAAAACTGAAACACGGGGTAAATCGAAACATTAAAAGATCGAGAAATCGAAAGTCGAAAATACGAAATAGGCCAAAATTGGAGACTTTAAATAAAAAAATCGATAAATCGGAAAACCTATAAATTCAAGAATCAAAACATGGAAATAATCGAAAAACCGAGAGGTCGAAAATTTGAAAGATTGAGAAATTGAAACACCAAAAATCTAAAAAAAAATAAAATTTAAAAGCCCGAAAATTGAAGTAGGTATATCAAGGAAGTGAAAAATTTAAATTATAAAAATTGAAAAATTAAATATCAAAAAATTTAAGAATTGAAAAAGGGAAAAACCCCAAAAGTGAAACATCGAAAAATCGGAAACGCGAAAAATCAAAAATCCAAAATCGCAAAAACTGAAAAATCGGAACATTGAAGAATCGAAAAATCGAGACATTCAAAATTCCAAAACTAAAATTACGAAAAATTGGAAAATTGAATAACTGAAAAAGCAAAAACCTGAAAAATCGAAAAATTAAAAAATTGAAAAACTGAAAAATCGGCTTGAAAAGTCGAGAGATCGAAAATTGATGTGTCGAAGAATTGAAAAATCCAGAAATTGAAGAATCGAAATATTGAAAATCCTAAAACTGAAATGTCGAAAAATTGAAAAGCCGAGAAGTCAAAAATCCAAAATCGTAAAAACTCAAAAATCGGAAAATTGAATAACTTAAAAATCCAAATTTCGAAAAATTAGAAAATCGAAGAGCCAAGAAATCGAAAATTCGAAACATCGAAAAATTCAATAGCTGAAACATCGAGAAATCGAAACATTAAAAGATCGAGAAACCCAAAATCGAAAAGTCGAAAATACGAAATAGGCCAAAATCGAAAAATCGCATTAAAAACTGAAAAACTGAAAAATTAAAAAAAAAAATCGATACATCGAAAAATCTATAAACCGAAGATTAAAAAAAAATCGAAATCTCGAAAAATTGAAAAACTGTAAAAATCGAGAAATTGAAAAATTTTAAATTTTATAAAATTGAAAAATTAAATATCAAAAAACTGAAGAATCGAAATGTTGAAATATCCCAAAACTGAAATTTCGAAACATTGAAAAATGGAAGCAAAACTGAAGAATCGAAAAAGTGAAAAATCACAAAACTGAAAGAAATATCGAAAAATTGCAAAATTGAAAAATCGAAAAGCAGAGAAATGAAAACTTCAAAATCACAAAAACTGAAAAATCGGAAAATTCGAGAATCTAAAAACCGAAAAATCTAAAAATTGAAAAATGCACAAACTCAGATTAGGAAAAATTGGAAAAGCGAATAACTGTAAAATCGCGAAAAATCGGAAAATCGAAAAGCCGACAAATCGAAAATTCGGAACATTAAAAAATTGATAAATCGAAATCTCGAAAAGTCGAAAAATTTAAAAACCCAAAAAGTGAAAAATTATCGAAAAATTGAGAAATGGAAGAAAAGCTTAAGAATCGAAAAAGTAAAAAACCCCAAAACTGAAACATGGAAAAATTGCGAATTCAACATCAAGATCGAGAAATCGAAAGTCGAAAATACGAGATACGTCAAAACCGAAAAATCGGATAAAAAATTGAAAAACTGAAAAATTTAAAATAAAAAAAAAAAAAATCTATAAATTAAAGAAACAAAAAATTGAAATCTCGAAAAATCGAGAAACCGAAAATTCGAAAAATTGAAAGATCGGGAAATCCAAACACCAAAAATTTTAAATTTAAAAATCCGAAAACCGAAGTATCGAAGAATTGAAAAATCGAGAAATTGGAAAATCTAACATTTTAAAAACTGAAAAATTAAATATCAAAAACTGAAGAATCGAAATATTGAAATATCCCACACTGAAATGTCAAAAAATTGGAAAATGGAAAAAAACTGAAGAATCGAAAAAGTGAAAAATCCCAAAACTGAAACATCGAAAAATTGAAAAATTGGGAACTCGAAAAGTTGAAAAATCAAATACGAAAACTTGAAATATCAAACACCTGACAAATCGAAAAACTGAAGAAATAAAAAACTGAAAAATCTAAACACGAAAAGTCGGGAAATCGAGAATTGCGAAAATCAAAAAATCGATTTATCGAGAAATTTAAAAATCGAAAAATGAAAAGTTCAAAAATTAAAAAATCGTAAAACTGAAACATCGGAAAATTGAGAAATTGAAGAAACTAAAAATTAAAAAATCCTATACGATTTATCACGCTTCCGATAACCTTAAAACATTTGCCAGATTTCAAAGCATTCGATTTTGCAATTTTTAAGTTAAATTATAAAATGTTATACAATTTTAACTTTTTTTACAAAAATCTGAATGCTTAAGGTAAAAACTCAACAAAGGTTCATAAACCACAATATCCAGACAGACGCCAGACAGACAGACAGACAGACAGACGAAAATGGGAGACCTATTTTTTCGTACTCTGTAGGTTATGAAACGAAAGAATCGGTCGGACCACATTCATTATTCTTTGTAAGCGCTTGAAAATTTCACCCAATAATGTTTCCTTCCGCCGTTTCATATTTCATGGGTATTCATTAGAAAGCCCCCATTTCAAAACACAAATGATACGCCACTGGCCAATACCTACATGACAGATTGTGTTGACTTTTCACAGTATTTTTCATTGACATTATTATTGCCTGTGTCTGTTTTTTATGTGATTATTCAAGGACCCAGACTGCGAAAACTGGCTCCCGCAATACTCACACGAATACGGTTTTTGCCCAGTATGCGTCAAAATATGACTTTTCAAAATTCGCGCCTCTACAAACTTCTTCATACAAATGTGACAATGATACTTCCTGTCGTTATTGTGATTTTTCATGTGCACCTAAAAACAAAAACACCAAATATAAAATAGTACCATTAAAATTCAACGTTAAAAAAATTATGTTGGCACCCACCCGCAAATGGCTTGCCGCTATATACTTCTTAGGACACAGGGTACACGCATATGGTCTTTCACCCGTATGGTAACGAACATGAGTGTCCCTAGTTTCTTTCTGTCTGAAAGCTTTGCCGCACTGCCAGCAATGATACGGTTTTTCCCCGGTGTGTTTCATGGTGTGTTTTTTTAATTGAGTACTTGCTGCAAACACAAATTTACAATAAAAAAATCACTACAACGATGTTTAGTCATACTAGCAAAAGCGCTATTACACCTAACGCATTTATACGGTTTTTCCCCGGTGTGTATTCTCATATGAATGTCACGATTTACACTTGAAGCACACGCTTTTCCACACAAGTTACAAATGTACGGTTTTTCCCCTAAAAAATCAACAAATACATATTTTTATGATTTTAAGGCTCAATCGTGACTCAATCGTTACCAGTGTGAGTCCGCAAATGTGAGGTTAGATTCGACGACTGATTAAACTTCTTTCCACAAATATTACACCCGAACTTCTTCTCATTACAATGAATATTCCTGTGTTTGTACAACGAGCTCGGTAGTGCAAAAGTGCGCCCACACACCTCACAACTTAAGGGTCTTTCACCCGTATGTGACCTCATATGCATCACAAGCAACTTATTTTGTTTATAACTTTTGTTACAGATTGTACACACGTGCTTTCGTTCACCGTCAGTCAAATCATCAAGCGCCCCAAAATGTATCTCTTTCAAATGCTTTTTTAGGAACTTTTCGTCGCTGAAAGTTTGGTCACAAATCTGTGAATAGTACCAACAGTAAAACAAAAATCGCACTATGAACTTATTACGTTACACATAAAATTCGTGTTACAGAGTTTCTTTTCTTCGAAATTTGCTTTGTCAATGGAGTGGTCCATGACGTGTTTGTCCAGCATTACAGGAGTGGTGCACACTTTTCCACAAATTGAACAAAAATATTTGCTTTGGCCTGTGTGGATTTTGATGTGTTCGCCGAGACTCCATTCATCTGAATAAATTAATAATCTGGGATTTAAAATTTTCTGTTGTTGTTAATAATACCTTTAAAAATGTCTTCACAGAATTGGCACCGGTATAAATTTAAATCAAATGTGCTACAGTTGGTGGTTTCTTGCGACGTGCTCTGGCAAGACATGATCTGAGTATCCGTTTCCCACGTTTCCGGTAAACACTGCTCTGCTATGGTCTGCAAGCTTTCCATAGTTTCCGCCAAATCAGAAACCACTACAGACAATTAAAGTAATTAGAATTATCATTTAGTAATTTTAAAATAGTTATGTTGGCAACACCAACACAAGATGATAGCAGAGAACATAGAGAAGCGTCATAGTTTGAATTAAATGACGGTTGAGGACTCCTCGACTTATGTTGGCAACAGTGTTTGTTTCTAACTAGGAATAAAATTAACTACAACAGAAAAAAGGTCATAATATTTTTAACGACGCTTTCGTTTTTTCAAATTTTCGATTTTTGAATTTTTCAAATTTGACATTTATAAACTGTCAATTTTTCGATTTTTCAATTAATCGATGTTTTGATTTTCCCATTTCTTGACTTTCGAGGGTTTCGATATTCCTGTTCTTCAATTCTTTAATTTTTCGATTTTTCATTTTTTAGTTTTCTTAAGTTTGGATTTTTCGACTTCACTTCTCGGATTTTTCGATTGCGCAATTTTTCGACTTTTTAAGTTCTCAGTTTTTGGATATTTCAGTTTTCGAATTTTTCAGGTTTTCTATTTTCCAGTTTTTCTTCCATTTTTCAGTTTTTTCATATCTCAGTTTTGGGATTTTTCAATATTTCGATTCTTCGACTTTTCAATTTTTGACTCCTGGATTTTTAAATGTGTCGACTTTTTACTTTTTCGATTTTTAAATTTTAGATTTTTCATTTTTTGAAATTTTAATTTTTCAATATTTAAAATTTTCGATTTTTCGATTTTTCGATTTTTCATTTCAGCTCTTCCATATTTCAATTTTTCAAATGTTTCGATTTCTTAATCTTTCGATTTTTCCACTTTCCGGTTTTAGATTTTCTGTTTTCAATTGTCGTTTTTTCAATTTTTCGATTTTTAAATTTTAGATTTTTCAAATTTTTTATTTTCGTATTTCACTTTCCTAATTTTTACGTTTTCATTTTCTTGATTTTACATCACAATTTTTCAATTTTTTAATGTTTCGGTTTCGTAATTATTTGATTTTTCAATTTTCGATTTCCCCAGTTTTTCAAGTTCTTGATTTTTATTTTTAGTATTAATTTTCTTAATTTTTCATCACAGTTTTCCGTTTTTTCATTTTCTTTATCTTCTCAATGTTTCTTTCGATTTTATAATTTTTCATTTATTTAATTTTTAAAATTTTCAATCTTTGGTTCTTCAGTTCCTCAGTTTTTCAGTTTTTAAATTTTACAATTTTTGGATTTTTCTATTATCGATTTTTCCGGTTTCATTAATTTTCAGTATTTCGATTTTAACAATATTTCATTTTTTACAATATTTCGTCTTTTAGATGTGTCGACTTTTTATTTTTCGATTTTTAAATTTTAGATTTTTCATTTTTTTGGAATTTTAATTTTTCAATATTTAAAATTTTCGATTTTTCGATTTCTCGATTTTTCATTTCAGCTCTTCCATATTTCAATTTTTCAAATGTTTCGATTTCTTAATCTTTCGATTTTTCTACTTTCCGGTTTTAGATTTTCTGTTTTCAATTGCCGTTTTTTCAATTTTTCGATTTTTAAATTTTAGATTTTTCAAATTTTTTATTTTCGTAGTTCACTTTCCTAATTTTTAAATTTTCATTTTCTTGATTTTACATCACAATTTTTCAATTTTTTAACGTTTCGGTTTCATAATTATTTGATTTTTCAATTTTCGATTTCCTCAGTTTTTCAAGTTCTTGATTTTTATTTTTGGTATTAATTTTCTTAATTTTTTATCACAATTTTCCGTTTTTTCATTTTCTTTATCTTCTCAATGTTTCTTTCGATTTTATAATTTTTCATTTATTTAATTTTTAAAATTTTCAGTCTTTGGTTCTTCAGTTCCTCAGTTTTTCAGTTTTTAAATTTTACAATTTTCGTATTTTTCTATTATCGATTTTTCTGGTTTCAGTAATTTTCAATATTTCGATTTTAACAATATTTAATTTTTTACAATATTTCGTTTTGTAGATGTGTCGACTTTTTACTTTTTCGATTTTTAAATTTCAGATTTTTCATTTTTTTGGAATTTTAATTTTTCAATATTTAAAATTTTCGATTTTTCGATTTCTCGATTTTTCATTTCAGCTCTTCCATATTTCAATTTTTCAAATGTTTCGATTTCTTAATCTTTCGATTTTTCTACTTTCCGGTTTAAGATTTTCTGTTTTTCAATTGTCGTTTCTTCAATTTTTCGATTTTTAAATTTTAGATTTTTCAGTTTTTTGATATTTCAATTTTTCAAAATTTAAAATTTTAGATTTTTCGATTTCTCGATTTTTCATTTCAGTTCTTCGATATTTCCGTTTTTCATGTTTTCGAATTTTTCAATGTTTTGATTTCTTAATCCATTGATTTTTCGACTTCCCGGTTTTGGATTTTTGTATTTTTCAATTGTCGTTTATTCAAATTTTCGATTTTTCAATTTTTCAAATTTGACATTTATAAACTGTCAATTTTTAGATTTTTCAATTAATCGATGTTTTTATTTTCCCATTTCTTGACTTTCGAGGATTTCGATATTCCTGTTCTACAATTCTTTAATTTTTCGATTATTCATTTTTTAGTTTTCTTAAGATTTCGATTTTTTGACGTCACTTTTTGGATTTTTCGATTGCTCAATTTTTCGACTTTTAAAGTTTTCAGATTTTTCAGGTTTTCGATTTTTCAGTTTTTCTTTCATTTTTCAATATTTCGATTCTTCGACTTTTCAATTTTTGACTCCTGGATGTTTAGATGTGTCGACTTTCTACTTTTTCGATTTTTAAATTTTAGATTTTTCTTCTTTTTTTGGAATTTTAATTTCTCAATATTTAAAATTTTAGATTTTTCGATTTCTCGATTTTTCATTTCAGCTCTTCCATTTTTCAATTTATCAAATGTTTCGATTTCTTAATCTTTCGATTTTTCTACTTTCTAGTTTTAGATTTTCTGTTTTCAATTGTCGTTTTTTCAATTTTTCGATTTTTAAATTTTAGATTTTTCAAATTTTTGATTTTCGTATTTCACTTTCCTAATTTTTAAATTTTCATTTTCTTGATTTTACATCACAATTTTTCAATTTTTTAATGTTTCGGTTTCATAATTATTTGATTTTTCAATTTTCGATTTCCCCAGTTTTTCAAGTTCTTGATTTTTATTTTTAGTATTAATTTTCTTAATTTTTTATCACAGTTTTACGTTTTTTCATTTTCTTTATCTTTTCAATATTTCTTTCGATTTTATAAATTTTCATTTATTTAATTTTTAAAATTTTCAATCTTTGGTTCTTGAGTTCCTCAGTTTTTCGTTTTTAAATTTCACAATTTTTGGATTTTTCTATTACCGATTTTTCCGGTTTCATTAATTTTCAATATTTCGAATTTAACAATATTTCATTTTTTACAATATTTCTTTTTTTAGATGTGTCGACTTTTTACTTTTTCGATTTTTAAATTTTAGATTTTTCAATTTTTGTTGGAATTTTAATTTTTCAATATTTAAAGTTTTCGATTTTTCGATTTCTCGATTTTTCATTTCAGCTCTTCCATTTTTCAATTTATCAAATGTTTCGATTTTTCTACTTTCCGGTTTTAGATTTTCTGTTTTCAATTGTCGTTTTTTCAATTTTTCGATTTTTCAATTTTAGATTTTTCAAATTTTTGACTTTCGTATTTCACTTTCCTAATTTTTAAATTTTCATTTTCTTGATTTTACAACACAATTTTTCAAATTTTTAATGTTTCGGTTTCATAATTATTTGATTTTTCAATTTTCGATTTCCTCAGTTTTTCAAGTTCTTGATTTTTATTTTTAGTATTAATTTTCTTTATTTTTTAGCACAGTTTTCCGTTTTTTCATTTTCTTTATCTTTTCAATGTTTCTTTCGATTTTTTAATTTTTCATTTATTTAATTTTTAAAATTTTCAATCTTTGGTTCTTCAGTTCCTCAGTTTTTCAGTTTTTAAATTTTACAATTTTTGGATTTTTCTATTATCGATGTTTCCGGTTTCATTAATTTTCAATATTTCCATTTTAACAATATTTCATTTTTTACAATATTTCGTTTTTTAGATGTGTCGACTTTTTACTTATTCGATTTTTAAATTTTAGATTTTTCATTTTTTTGGAATTTTAATTTTTCAATATTTAAAATTTTCGATTTTCCGATTTCTCGATTTTTCATTTCGGCTCTTCCATATTTCAATTTTTCAAATGTTTCGATTTCTTAATCTTTCGATTTTTCTACTTTCCGGTTTTAGATTTTCTGTTTTTCAATTGTCGTTTTTTCAATTTTTGGATTTTTCAATTTTAGATTTTTCAAATTTTTGATTTTCGTATTTCACTTTCCTAATTTTTAAATTTTCATTTTCTTGATTTTACAACACAATTTTTCAAATTTTTAATGTTTCGGTTTCATAATTATTTGATTTTTCAATTTTCGATTTCCTTAGTTTTTCAAGTTCTTGATTTTAATTTTAGTATTAATTTTCTTTATTTTTTAGCACAGTTTTCCGTTTTTTCATTTTCTTTATCTTTTCAATGTTTCTTTCGATTTTATAATTTTTCATTTATTTAATTTTTAAAATTTTCAGTCTTTGGTTCTTCAGTTCCTCAGTTTCTCAGTTTTTAAATTTTACAATTTTTGGATTTTTCTATTATCGATGTTTCCGGTTTCATTAATTTTCAATATTTCGATTTTAACAATATTTCATTTTTTACAATATTTCGTTTTTTAGATGTGTCGACTTTTTACTTTTTCGATTTTTAAATTTTAGATTTTTCATTTTTTTGGAATTTTAGTTTTTCAATATTTAAAATTTTCGATTTCCCGATTTCTCGATTTTTCATTTCAGCTCTTCCATATTTCAATTTTTCAAATGTTTCGATTTCTTAATCTTTCGATTTTTCTACTTTCCGGTTTTAGATTTTCTGTTTTTCAATTGTCGTTTTTTCGATTTTTCGATTTTTAAATTTTAGATTTTTCAAATTTTTGATTTTCGTATTTCACTTTCCTAATTTTTAAATTTTCATTTTCTTGATTTTATATCACAATTTTTCAATTTTTTAATGTTTCGGTTTCATAATTATTTGATTTTTCAATTTTCGATTTCCCCAGTTTTTCAAGTTCTTGATTTTTATTTTTAGTATCAATTTTTTTAATTTTTTATCACAGTTTTCCATTTTTTCATTTTCTTTATCTTTTCAATGTTTCTTTCGATTTTATAATTTTTCACATATTTAATTTTTAAAATTTTCAATCTTTGCTTCTTCAGTACCTCAGTTTTTCAGTTTTTAAATTTTACAATTTTTGGATTTTTCTATTATCGATTTTTCCGGTTTCATTAATTTTCAATATTTCGATTTTAACAATATTTCGTTTTTTAGATGTGTCGACTTTTTACTTTTTCGATTTTTAAATTTTAGGTTTTCATTTTTTTGGAATTTTAAGTATTTAAAATTTTAGATTTTTCCATTTCTCGATTTTTCATTTCAGCTCTTCCATATTTTAATTTTTCAAATGTCTCGATTTCTTAATCTTTCGATTTTTCTACTTTCCGGTTTTAGATTTTCTGTTTTCAATTGTCGTTTTTTCAATTTTTCGATTTTTAAATTTTAGATTTTTCAAATTTTTTATTTTCGTATTTCACTTTCCTAATTTTTACATTTTCATTTTCTTGATTTTACATCACAATTTGTCAATTTTTTAATGTTTCGGTTTCATAATTATTTGATTTTTCAATTTTCGATTTCCTCAGTTTTTCAAGTTCTTGATTTTTATTTTTAGTATTAATTTTCTTAATTTTTTATCACAGTTTTCCGTTTTTTCATTTTCTTTATCTTTTCAATGTTTCTTTCGATTTTATAATTTTTCATTTATTTAATTTTTAAAATTTTCAATCTTTGGTTCTTCAGTTCCTCAGTTTTTCAGTTTTTAAATTTTACAATTTTTGGATTTTTCTATTATCGATTATTCCGGTTTCATTAATTTTCAATATTTCGATTTTAACAATATTTCATTTTTTACAATATTTCGTTTTTTAGATGTGTCGACTTTTTACTTTTTCGATTTTTAAATTTTAGATTTTTCAGTTTTTTGATATTTTAATTTTTCAATATTTAAAATTTTAGATTTTTCGATTTCTCGATTTTTCATTTCAGCTCTTCCATATTTCAATTTTTCAAATGTTTCGATTTCTTAATCTTTCGATTTTTCTACTTTCCGGTTTTAGATTTTCTGTTTTTCAATTGTCGTTTTTTCAATTTTTCGATTTTTAAATTTTAGACTTTTCAAATTTTTGATTTTCGTATTTCACTTTCCTAATTTTTAAATTTTCATTTTCTTGATTTTACATCACAATTTTTCAATTTGTTAATGTTTCGGTTTCATAATTATTTGATTTTTCAATTTTCGATTTCCTCAGTTTTTCAAGTTCTTGATTTTTAATTTTAGTATTAATTTTCTTAATTTTTTATCACAGTTTTCCGTTTTTTCATTTATTTAATTTTTAAAATTTTCAATCTTTGGTTCTTCAGTTCCTCAGTTTTTTAGTTTTTAAATTTTACAATTTTTGGATTTTTCTATTATCGATTTTTCCGGTTTCATTAATTTTCAATATTTCGATTTTAACAATATTTCATTTTTTACAATATTTCGTTTTTTAGATGTGTCGACTTTTTACTTTTTCGATTTTTAAATTTTAGATTTTTCATTTTTTTGGAATTTTAACTTTTCAGTATTTAAAATTTTAGATTTTTCGATTTCTCGATTTTTCATTTCAGCTCTTCCATATTTCAATTTTTCAAGTGTTTCGATTTCTTAATCTTTCGATTTTTCTACTTTCCGGTTTTAGATTTTCTGTTTTTCAATTGTCGTTTTTTCAATTTTTCGAAACAACCACAAAAATTGTCACCAAAAACATTTAAAAATTCATACAAAATAGAACACAGTGTTTCCAAAACAATTTCCCGAAAAAAATCCATTGGGTTATTACGATTTCAACAATATTCTTAGTTTAAGACGATTTGCTAGTATAAAACACAAATAAACAATTAATTCTTAGTTATAACAAAATATGTACCAAAAATATTCATTTAGTCGTTATAAAAACCGAACAAACAACTATTTCCCGCAGAAATGATAGTCCAAACCAACCAAATCGCTTCTGAACGCTTAGAGTCGACATTGGCCTGAGCGCGCTCTGGTCTGTAGATCAAACAAGTTCTCAGGCGACGAGTTGTAGTGAAACAAGTTTTTTTATTGGCATCGACTATTTAAATTTGGCGCTTTGCTTTGGCGGTTGAGGACTCCAATGTCAATACCAACATAACCATTTTAAAAATGAATTTCATAGCCTACTAGAGATATTTTTTTCTTACCAGTGCTAGCGTTCTGATTTCCAAAATTATCCACCAAAGAATGTGACGTCGCATCGTTGAAAATATCCTGAAAAATCGACGACTGTTGTAGGACTTCGCTGCTACCAAACAACTGGTCGGCCTTCATGTCACTGATCATTATGTTCGGCTCATTTTGTAGTGCTACGGTTTGCAGCCCCACACTATTTATGTACTGTCGAAGCGAAGCATCTGACTTTTCACACTGTTGTTTAAAACTGTAGGCGCGGTTGACCATTTGTAAGCACTGGGTGCAGATTTGTCCTGGGAGTCCATCACCCTCGATTACCTATTCAGATTTTGTTGATTTATTTAGTAAAAGTGTGACTACTAATTATTACCTGAATTGAGGCGCACGACATTAGCATGTTGGCAACGCATGCTCCGAAAAGGGGCTTCAGGCCTGCCTTTTCCAGTAAACACGTCCGACAAATCTTGTCGAGTTTCATTTCGTGAAATAAAATATTAAAAAAGGAATTTTCTAGGTTATGTGAGGTTATGTTTATTGATTTTGACAGGTGTTTGTGAGCAGTGGCGGCGATAAGTATCGTAAATAGGGTATAAATAAATGTCACTAGTTAGTTATTCTTTATTACTTTATTTCTTAATCTACACTAATTATTAGTTATTATAAATATAAAATTTATGGTTTCCAAAGTCTCACAAGTCCGTCTTCACTATACGAACAAATTAAGTTCTGGTGGGGGTGATGTGCAATGCCAATTACGTCTTTTTCGTGGATCTATGAAAAAAAAATGTTGGTAAAAAATAATATTATGAAATTCGGAGAAGATTTACATTTAGCGTTCTTTCTAATTTTCCAGAATTTGTGGAAAAGCAGTACAGGACCAAATCTTCACCAACGCAGTAAATCCAGTCACCTCTGGGTGAAACTGTTGAACACACAAAATCGCCCCCTTCTCGCTTACCGCTTGAAAATGACCGCACAATCTACGATGAGTCGTTAAATTAAAATCACAAACTGTGTTTGATTGTTTGATCTCTTACCTGTCCTTGGAGATTCATTATAACTACGGTGTTGCTGCGGTTACAGACCACGAAGTGTTCTGGATTTTTGGCAAAGTTGTGGATGTTGTTTACAGTTATGTCTCCCGCCCCCAGTGTTTTGAATGTGTTAATGCATTCGGCGGCTCGGATGCTCCAGACTTTAACGGTGCCGTCAGAGGAAGCACTAAAAAAAAATTTAATTTTTAATTTTTAAATTTTTTATTCTTTAATTTTTTCATTCCTTCTTAATTTTTTCGGTTTTACCGATTTTAGAATCTTTCCATTTTGCATTTCTTGGATTTTAAAGCTTTTTCATTTATTCGACTTTTCAATTTTTCATTTTCGATTTGCTATTTTTCGTGTTGGCTTTTTATTTTCTTTACTTTTACAGCTTTTCGACTTTTCAATGTTCCGATTTTATAAAAAACGGAAAAAATGCAAAATTGAATAAAAAATGAAAAAAACGAAAAAGTATAAAATGAAAACTTTGAAAAATTTAAAAACTGGAAATCAAAAAATTGAAGAAACAATAAATTGAAATATCAAAATATTAAAAATTCGGAAACAAAAAAAACCGAAATATTTAAAAAAAGATATTGAAAATTTAAAAAATCGGATAATTGAAAAATCCAAAAATTGCTAAATTGAAAGAAAAATTTAAAAATTGGAAAACCGAGGAATTGAACAATCAATAACGATTGAAAATTTGAAAACATGAATAATCGAAAAATTACAAAATCCAAAGAAATATACAGGGTGTATTGAAAGGTACGTACAATAAAACTGATTGTTATTCACGAAGTCTAAGAAGTCTGAAAAACTTATTTTGTGTTATCAAAATTATAAGGGGAAAATTAACCCTTATCCAACTTTTTAGACGCTACTGAAGAATAAATAGGTAACTGCAACAATAAAACTTTTGTCAAGACTAAATGTTGCTGTAGAAACGAAAGGTGATCTTTTTATCAGAGGCGTACAAAGAATTTGGACATAAATTTTAATACTTTTAGCACTCATACTTCGAGACCACTTGCCGATTTTATTTTGTACGTACCTTTCAATAACACGCTGTAGAAAAAATAAAGGAAATGAAAAAAACAAAATATTGTGATATAAAATTGGGACAATGACAATAAAAAATCTGGAAAATGAAAAATAAAATTCAAGAACTTGAAAAATTGAAAAGTCGAAATATTGAAAATTAATGAAAATTTTAAAAAATAGAAAACCGAGGAATTGAAGAATCAAAGTTTGAACATTTTAAAATTTAAATAAATGAAAAATTATTAAATCGGAAGAAACCTTGAAATAATTAAGGAAATGAAAAAACGAAAAATTGTGAAATAAAACTGACAAAATAAAAATTAAAAATAATAAAAATCAAGCAGTTGAAAAATTGAGGAAACAAAAAATTAAAAAATCATACGATTTTTCAATTTTAGATTTTTTAATTTTTTCTACTTTACATTTTTCAGTTTTTATTTTAAATGTGCAACAATAATTGTAATTTTTAAAAAAATTCACTTTACATTTTACGGTTTTGGAATTTTTCAATTATTGGATTGTAAATCTTTCAATCTTTCAATGTTATAATTTTTCGACTTTACAATTTTAACAATTCTAGAGTTTTTCGATTTTACAATTTTTGGGTTTTTCAATTTTTCGAGTCGACTCATTTTTTCTTCTTTCCAATTTTTCGATTAATTAATTTTATCTACATATTTTAAAATTTCTCGGGTTTTAGTTTTGCAATTTTCAATCTTTCGTTTCTGATTTGCGATTTTTCCACGTTTTCGACTTTTCAATGTTACGACGTCATAATTTTTTTGTTTTTTGTTTCAATTTAGTTTTCTTTACAATTGTTACATACTCATTTTTTTTCTTCAATTTTACACTATGAAACTCTCAAGTTTTAATTTTTAAATGTTTCAATTTTTAGATTTTGCAATTTTTCGATTTTTCAAATTTTCACTTCTTCAATTTTTCGATTCGGTTTATTTTCTTAATTTTTTCAAATTTTCGGTATTACAATGTTCAAGTTTTTTCTTTTTACAACGCGAAATTTTCAATTTTGTATTTTCCAGTTTTTTGATTTTTCAATTTTAGATTTTTTAATTTTTTGAATTTTTTGTTTTTTCTGTTTTCCTTTTTTCAGCTTGATTTTTCAATTTTTCGTTTCTTCAATTTATTGATTTGAAATTTTTCTAGTTTTCATTTTGCAATAATTTTTAAAAATTTTCACTTTTTCAATTTTACGATTTTAGAAGTTTTCCATTTTTCAATTATTGGAGTTTAAAACTTTTTCAATTATTCGATTTTCAATTTTCCAATCTTTCAATAATATATTTTTTCGACTTTACAATTTTGACGATTCTATAATTTTTCAATTTTACAACAATTTTTGGGTTTTGTAATTTTTCGATTCAATTCATTTTTCTTCTTTCCAATTTTTCGATTCATTTATTTTTTTCGATTTTAGTTTTTCAATTTTCAATTTTTCGTTTCTTTAATGTTTCGATTCGCGATTTTTTCATTTTTTCGACTTTTCAATGTTACAATTTTATAATTTTTTTGTTTTTTGTTTATTTTTTTTTATTTTTCGTTTCTTCAATTTTACGATATGTAACTCTCAAGTTTTAATTTTTAGATTTTGCAATTTTTTGATTTTAAAATTTTTCATTTATTTAATTTTTGATTTGGTTTACTTTCTTAATTCTTTCAAATTTTCGGTTTTTTCTTTTTTCAGTATCAAATTCTCGAATTATTGGATTTTTCAATTTTGCGGTTTCCAATTTTAGATTTTTTATTTTTTTGATTTTACATTTTTCAGTTTATCGATTTTTCAATTTCCATTTTAAATATGTAATAATAATTATAATTTCTAAAAAAATTTTCACTTTCAATTTTACGATTTTAAAATTTTTCCATTTTAAATTATTGTATTTTAAAACTTTTTCATTTATTCGATTTTTCAATTTTTCAAACTTTCAATGTTTCGACAATTCTATAGTTTTTCAATTTTACAATTTGTGGGTTTTCTAATTTTTCGATTAGTTTCATTAATTTTTTTCGATTTCAAAGTTTCCTGATTTTTAGTTTTTTAATTTTCTTCCAATGCTTCGATTTTTCCACTTTTTCGATTTCCAATTTTTCGTTTATTCAGCTTGTAGATTTTCCAATCTCGTTGGGATTTTTTAGTTTATTGATTTTTAATTTTTCCGTTTTTCAACTTTTTGAACTAAGAAAAAGATGGGAAAATTTCAAAATTGAATAAAAAATTAAAAAACGAAAAAGTATAAAATGAAAACTAAAACATCTAAAAACTAGAAATCGGTAACTTGAAAAATTGAAGAAACGAAAAATTGATAAATCAAAATATTAAAAATTGAGAAACTTAAAAATCGAAAAAACTAAGTATACATACAATCCCAATATTGAAAATTCAAGAAATCGGAAAATCGGATAATTGAAAAATCCAAAAATTGGTAAATTGAAAAATTTAAAAATTGGAAAACCGAGGAACAATAAAAAAAGATAGAAATTTTGAAAAAATGAATAATTGAAAAATTACAAAATCGAAAGAAATGTTGAAAAAATAATAAAGGGGATGAAAAAACCAAAATTTATGATAAAAAATCGAGCAAATGGAAATTAAAAAATCAGGAAAGTGAAAAATGAAAATCAAGATTTTGAAAAATTGAAAAAATTAAAAATTGAGAAATTGAAAAATCGAAATATTGTAAACAATTAAATTTTGTTAAAATCGAAATATTGAAAATTAATGAAATCTGAAAATCAGATAATTGAGAAATCCAAAAATTGTAAAATTGAAAAATTTAAAAACTGAAAAACTGAGGAATTGAAAAATCAAAGATTGAAAATTTTAAAAATGAAATAAATGAAAAATTGTAATATCGAAAGAAACAACGAAAAAATGAAGGAAATGAAAAAAGAAAACTGTGATACAAAATTAGGAAAATTAAAATTAAAAATAAAAATCAAGAACTTAAAAAACTGAGGAAACCAAAAATTGAAAAATCGAAATATTAAAAATTGATAAAGGGAAAAAATTGTAATATCGAAAAATTGAAAATTGAAAAAAAATGGATAAACAAAAAATTGTAATATAAAATCGGGAAAACGAAAATTAAAAAATCAAGAAAGTAAAAAATGAAATTCAAGATTTTGAAAAATTGAAAAATCTAAAAATTAAAAATTGAGAGACTGAAAAATCGAAAAACCGAAATATTGCGAAAAAAGGAAATATTGTTAAAATCGAAATATTGAAAATTAATGAAATCAGAAAATCGGATAATTGAGAAATCCAAAAATTGTAAAATTGAAAAATTTAAAAAATAGATTTTTTATTTTTTTTTATTTTACATTTTTCAGTTTATATTTTAAATGTGCAACAATAATTGTAATTTTTAAAAAAATTCACTTTCCATTTTACGGTTTTGGAATTTTTCAATTTTTCAATTATTGGATTTTAAATCTTTTTCATCTATTCGATTTTTCAATTTCTCAATCTTTCAATGTTATAATTTTTCGACTTTACAATTTTAACAATTGTAGAGTTTTTCGATTTTACAATTTTTGGGTTTTTCAATTTTTCGATTAATTAATTTTATCTACATATTTTAAAATTTCTCGGGTTTTAGTTTTTCAAATTTCAATCTTTCGTTTCTGATTTGCGATTTTTCCACGTTTTCGACTTTTCAATGTTACGTCATAATTTTTTTGTTTTTTGTTTCAATTTCTTTTCGTTACAATTGTTACATACTCATTTTTTTTCTTCAATTTTACACTATGAAACTCTCAAGTTTTAATTTTTAAATGCTTCAATTTTTAGATTTTGCAATTTTTCGATTTTTCAAATTTTCACTTCTTCAATTTTTCGATTCGGTTTATTTTCTTAATTTTTTCAAATTTTCGGTTTTACAATGTTCAAGTTTTTTCTTTTTACAATGCGAAATTTTCAATTTTGTATTTTCCAGTTTTTTGATTTTTCAATTTTAGATTTTTTAATTTTTTGAATTTTTTGTTTTTTCTGTTTTCCTTTTTTCAGTTTGATTTTTCAATTTTTCGTTTCTTCAATTTATTGATTTGAAATTTTTCTAGTTTTCATTTTGCAATAATTTTTAAAAATTTTCACTTTTTCAATTTTACGATTTTAGAAGTTTTCCATTCTTCAATTATTGGAGTTTAAAACTTTTTCATTTATTCGATTTTCAATTTTCCAATCTTTCAATAATATAATTTTTCGACTTTACAATTTTGACGATTCTATAATTTTTCGATTTTACAACAATTTTTGGGTTTTGTAATTTTTCGATTCAATTCATTTTTCTTCTTTCCAATTTTTCGTTTCTTAAATGTTTCGATTCGCGATTTTTTCATTTTTTCGACTTTTCAATGTTACAATTTTATAATTTTTTTGCTTTTTGTTTATTTTTTTTTATTTTTCGTTTCTTCAATTTTTTAATTACTCTTTTTTTTCCTTCAATTTTACGATATGTAACTCTCAAGTTTTAATTTTTAGATTTTGCAATTTTTTGATTTTAAAATTTTTCATTTATTTAATTTTTGATTTGGTTTACTTTCTTAATTCTTTCAAATTTTCGGTTTTTTCTTTTTTCAGTATCAAATTCTCGAATTATTGGATTTTTCAATTTTGCGGTTTCCAATTTTAGATTTTTTATTTTTTTGATTTTACATTTTTCAGTTTATCGATTTTTCAATTTCCATTTTAAATGTGTAATAATAATTATAATTTCTAAAAAAATTTTCACTTTCAATTTTACGATTTTAGAATTTTTCCATTTTCAATTATTGTATTTTAAAACTTTTTCATTTATTCGATTTTTCAATTTTTCAAACTTTCAATGTTTCGACAATTCTATAGTTTTTCAATTTTACAATTTCTGGGTTTTCTAATTTTTCGATTAGTTTCATTAATTTTTTTCGATTTCAAAGTTTCCTGATTTTTAGTTTTTTAATTTTCTTCCAATGCTTCGATTTTTCCACTTTTTCAATTTCCAATTTTTGTTTATTCAGCTTGTAGATTTTTCAATCTCGTTGGGATTTTTTAGTTTTTCGATTTTTAATTTTTCCGTTTTTCAACTTTTTGAACTAAAAAAAGATGGAAAAATTGCAAAATTGAATAAAAAATTAAAAAAAGGAAAAAGTATAAAATGAAAACTAAAAAATCTAAAAACTAGAAATCAATAACTTGAAAAATTGAAGAAACGAAAAATTGATAAATCAAAATATTAAAAATTGAGAAACTTAAAAATCGAAAAAACTAAGTATACAATCCCAATATTGAAAATTCAAGAAATCGGAAAATCGGATAATTGAAAAATCCAAAAATTGGTAAATTGAAAAATTTAAAAATTGGAAAACCGAGGAACAATAAAAAAAGATAGAAATTTTGAAAAAATGAATAATTGAAAAATTACAAAATCGAAAGAAATGTTGAAAAAATAATAAAGGGGATGAAAAAACCAAAATTTATGATAAAAAATCGAGCAAATGGAAATTAAAAAATTAGGAAAGTGAAAAATGAAAATCAAGATTTTGAAAAATTGAAAAAATTAAAAATTGAGAAATTGAAAAATCGAAATATTGTAAAAAATGAAATTTTGTTAAAATCGAAATATTGAAAATTAATGAAATCTGAAAATCAGATAATTGAGAAATCCAAAAATTGTAAAATTGAAAAATTTAAAAACTGAAAAACTGAGGAATTGAAAAATCAAAGATTGAAAATTTTAAAAATGAAATAAATGAAAAATTGTAATATCGAAAGAAACAACGAAAAAATGAAGGAAATGAAAAAAAGAAAACTGTGATACAAAATTAGGAAAATTAAAATTAAAAATAAAAATCAAGAACTTAAAAAACTGGGGAAACCAAAAATTGAAAAAAAAAGGATAAACAAAAAATTGTAATATAAAATCGGGAAAATGAAAATTAAAAAATCAAGAAAGTGAAAAATGAAATTCAAGATTTTGAAAAATTGAAAAATCTAAAAATTAAAAATTGAGAGACTGAAAAATCGAAAAAACGAAATATTGTGAAAGAAGGAAATATTGAAAATTAATGAAATCAGAAAATCGGATAATTGAGAAATCCAAAAATTGTAAAATTGAAAAATTTAAAAACTGGGTAAATGAAAAATCAAAGATAGAAAATTTTGAAAAATTAAATTAACGAAAAATTATAAAACCGAAAGAAACCTTGAAAAACAAAGGAAATGAATAAAGAGAAAATTGTGATACAAAATTAAGAAAATTAAAATCAAGAACTTAAAAAATTGAGGAAGCCAAAAATTGAAAAATCAAAAAATTAAAAATTTATAAAGAGAAAAATTGTAAAATCGAAAAATTGGTAAACTGAAACATAATAAAAATTGAAAAATTGAAAAATAAAAGAAAATGAAAAAACGATCAGGAAAGTGAAAAATGAAAATGAAGAATATGACAAATTGAAAAATCTAAAAATTAAAAATTGAGAAACTGAAAAATTGAGGAAATTAAATATTGCAAAAAATGAAATATTGTTAAGATCGAAATATTGTAAATTAATAAAATCGGAAAATCGTGCAATTGAAAAATTATAAAAATGTAAAATTGAGACATTTTAAAAACTGAAAAACTCAGGAACTGAAAAAACGGAAAATTGTGATACAAATGATACAGAATTAAGAAAATTAAAATTAAAAATAAAAATCAAAAATTAAAAAAAAATTATGAAACCAAAAATCGAAAAATTAAAAATTGATAAAGTGAAAAATTGTAATATCGAAAAATTGCTAAATTGAAAAATTGTAAAGTCGAATAAAACAAAACGAATGCGATTCATAAACCATATAAACTTGTATTTTAATTATAAAATTTAAATATTTACTAATGTAAATTTTGGAGATGACATCATCTAATTGTTGTAGTAGTTTGACAGATTATCTGCCAAATAAAAACTCGCACATACGGCAGACAGACAGACAGACGGAAACGGGAGACCTATTTTTTCGTACTCTAGGAGCCATGAAACGTCGCGAAAACATAAAAGTAACAGTCGTAAAAATATAATTAAATCACCTCAAAACGTTGTGACCATCCTGAGTAAAAATGACTTCATTAACAAACGACGTGTGCCCTCTAAACTCCTTCAGAATTTTCCCTGACTTTAACCCATGCAACCTACAAATAAAACCATAAATCACAAAATTTCGTGGACGTTTACAAAATACCTAATTGAATGATCAAAAGAAGCACTCAAAACCTGACTATTATCCCTTGAAAACTGCAAACACGTAATTCCTTTAGAGTGCGCTTTTTCAATTTTCCTCAAACACTGCCCAGAACTGATTCTCCAGACCTTAATTCGCCCGGTCTGAGATCCCGTAACCAACATTTCGCTATCCCGGGAGAAAGCCATACACAAGACTGCGTGTTCCATCATCATAAAATTTTCCTACAAATCATCATTAAAATAAAAAAAAATGTACAACATTTTCAATTTTAGATAACTCTTACTTGTGCTTGATATTTCAAATCCTTCCTAATTTTCCCTGTTGTAAAATTCCAGACTTCTATAATCCCGTCAATGCTCCCAGTGATAAGATACTGGCCATCTGGAGAAAACCGGGCACACTCTACGTGCGACTTTTGCCCGAATTTAATCTGTTTGGCCATTTGTGTAGGGAACTGTTCGTCCTCTTGGTCTCTGATAGCCGCCTTTCCCCTAAACAAATCGATAGTGGTGCCTGGGGGCAGCAACCCTTGATGTTGCTGCCATTTCAGCGCTTGTCCCAATAAAGCCAAAAGACGGGACGACGGCACCACGGAAACTTCGCCTGAAAGGGCGTGAGCTATGGCAGCTCGACGTTTTTCTTTGCTACTACCATCTGGGTATGCCTCTCGTGGGTCAAAATAAGAACGCGCCAGTAAATTTTCTATAACAAAAAACACACAATTATGACGTTAATTGTGTGTGTTTTTTACCTAAGTGGATGTAGCGTTCCGGCTCGTTCTGTTTCATCATTATCATGGGGTCCGTTTGTCTAAGCAACGAGCGGGCGGCCCCCAATTCTCGTAGTTCAATAAGTTCTAGAACAATCTAAAAGAGATTGTGACCATGTAACTATGAAAAAGTTTACCTGTTCGTATAAATCAATTAGTTTTTTATCCGGGAGTTTCAAAGACTGGATTGCTTTCAGAACTGTGTCCCAGTGGCCGTTATTTATGTCTGCACAAAAACCGTCCACACTGTCCACGGTATTCAAAGTAACACCCGTTTCTTCTTGGAGGGTGTGCAACGTCCGAAGTAGGTTTGATTCTTTTAAATATTGTTGAATCAGACGAATAACGCTAAAATTCGAAGCGACAAAATAAAAGTCGTTTTTAGGTTAAGTTCGATACTCACTCCGCTGATTCGATTTCAATAGACATAGTTGCGTAATTTGTAGCGCAAGTGGTTATTAAAACGACTAATTATGATTTTTTTTTATACAAAAAAGGTGTTTTTGTTGTAATAACAACAAATACAATTGACAGCCGACAGCGTAAAATTGACAACACAAACACAAACCACTGGAAAGTCCCTAACTTAGTGCTATAGGGACTTTTGACAGATGGCAAACCAGAAATGCTCAAACTATTGTCGTTTTGAAATAAATCAGAGGCCACCAAACACACCCGTGCTAAGATTTTTTCGTCTAAATAAAGAGCAATCGTTTTTAGCGGATGACTATTTTATATATTTTTTCTGATAACAAGAAATGAGTATATAATTAATGCATGAGTAATATTAGAGTTTAATAAATATGGCATATGGGTTACACGTGACGTTAATATATCTATTGGTATATAAGGATATATAAAGATTTATGTACGCATGATTGGATACAACTTCTATGTAAATTAGCAGAGACAAAAGGGCACTTTTGATTCTAAAGCGTTATCTAAAAAAATAGTTTTTGGCCTACTCGGTATCTTGACAATTTGATGAATTGCATACCCTTTTGTGTCTACTTTTAACTCTACTGTACATACAGCCTTTACCTATGGAAGCTTTGTGTAAAAAGTTGATATTTGTATAAAAGTGTAAACATCAAATCTAATATTTTACTGTAAGTACTAGTCTGTTGACTGTCATGTGTTACTTCTAATATATAGGGTTTTTGATACTCAAATTGGTAACATTTAAATTAAAATACTGACGCCACAAATCATACACTTTCCTATATCTGAAAAAAACAATGTTCTACAACAATCATATTTTACTAACAACTGAGGAGTTTTTATTTTAGAATTAGCTACTAAAATAAATATGTACATGGTTTGCTGTTTTGTTTGAAGTGCTTTTAGGAATCTTTCTGAAATTTCGGTTTTTTAGCGATTTAAGTGCAGATTCCTGAAGGCACTTCTTTATTTACTGACTATTTCTTCCGACTTAGAATTTCCAGGGTGGACGAGGTGTCGACGGACTTTTCTTCATTCTCAGAGAACTACTTCTGGAAAGTCTGGACGGGGGGCGACTTTTCACGTCCTCCTCTCGCACTGTATCGAGCACTCGTGTTTTTTCTTCGATTAATGTTGTTGATTTTTCTATGACGACGTCATATTTTGACGTTTTCTTCTAAAATTACAAATGCATTTTAAAAATGTACCACATGATCGAAAAAAAAGTCGGTTAGTAGGCCATGAAATTTGTTTTTGTTGACATTGCAACTTTTTGGCATTAAATTTCAGTGGTTGCTGGACGACTTTTTTTCTCGATCTGTGGTATTTGCGTTGGCACATTGTTTGATAAACGACAACTTAGCAAAATCATTTTTGACATATGTGTAGATTTGTAGATTTTTAAAGGTGAGATTATACGTGAATTTTTTCGTCGCTCTTGTTGGTAACACAATACACTTCCCTCACCCAACAAATCCTGCTTCCTTAAGATATTATAATTTTTTTTGCGATTTTCGTTTTTTGATTACCTTTATAAAGTATAAACCAGTGGCAACAATGACAATTCCGTGGCTTTTTTTTGTTTCTTCAGTTTTTCGATTTGCAAATTTTCGAGATTTCAAGTTTTTTTTTCGCTTTTTCAATTTTTTAACTTTTGAATTTTTCAAATTTTGGATATTTCGAGTTGCAATTTTTCGTTTCGGTTTTTTATTTTTTTATTTTTCAATGATTCTACTTTCGATTTTATAGTTTTTTGTGGTTACTTTTAATTTTAATTTTTTCAAGTTTTCGTTTCTTCAATTTTTTGATTAGCAATTTTTCATTTTTTTTGTTTCTTCAATTTTACGATATGCAAGACTCGTGTTTTCATTTTCAAATTTTTCAGTTTTTGGACTTTCCAACTTTTGGATGTTTCAGTTTTTAGATTTAAAATAAGCTGACGAGGTTTCAATGTTGCATTTTTCAATTTTTCGATTTATCAGATTTTCATTTCTTCAATTTTTCGATTTGTAACTTTTCGTTTTGGTTTTTCATTTTCTTTATTTTTTCGATTTTTCGCTTTTTCAATGTTCTAATTTTATAATTTTTTTTTCAAAGTGAAATTTTCATTTCTTGGGTTTTTCATTTTGCGATTTGTCATTTTTCAGTTTTTAATTTTTCGATTTTTCAAGTTTTACTAATTTTTTTAATATTTCGTTTTTTCAATTTTTGATTTGCAGTTTTTCTAGTTTTCATGTTAAATATGTAATAATAATAAGTTCTAAAATATTTCACTTATTTAATTTTTTTAAGTATTGGATTTGTTTTTTTTTTCATTTATTCGACTAATTGTTTGTTTCTTCAATCTTACGATGTGCAACTGTTAGTTTTCAATTTCAAATTTTGTAGTTTTTCGATTTTCCAACTTTTGGATGTTTCAATTTTTAGATTTAAAATTTTTCGATTTGCATTTTCACGAGATTTCAATTTTTAATTTCTCAATTTTTCAAATTTTTATTTCTTCAATTTTTCGGTTCCCTTATTTTTTATTTGTTCGGTCTTTCAATGTTCTGATTTTATACCTATATTTATTTTTAATGTGATTTTTTTTCAATTTTTGGATGTTCCAAATTTCCAGTTTTTCGACTTTTCAAATTAGATTTTTTAATTTTTCGTTTTTTCAGTTTCCGTCAATTTTTAATTTGCAATTTTTCTATTTTTCGTTTTAAATATGCAATAATAATTATAATTTAAAAAACATATCATTTTTCGATTTTACAGTTTTTGGGTTTTCCAAAAAAAAACGAATCGAATCTAAAGATTTGATTTTTTTTCGATTGGTAAGCTTCTCGATTTTTATTTTTCAATGTTTCAATTTTTAGTTTCTTCAGTTCTTCGATTTTTCAATTTTTTCCGATTTTTTTAGTGTTTCGTTTTTTTTTTTAAATCAAAAATACAAAAAGGAATAAATATGAAACGAAAACTTTCAAGAGTCTAAAAATTGTAAATCAAGAACTTCAAAAATTGAAGAAACGAAAAACTAAAAAATCAAAAGATTAAAAATTGAGAAACTTAGAAACTGAAAAATTGTAAAATCGAAAAAACGAGACATTGTAAAATCGAAATATTGATTATTAAGGAAATCTGAAAATCGGATAATTGGAGATCCAAAATCTCCAAAATTGGAAAATCGATGAACTGAAAAACCAAAAATTGAAAATTCTACAAAATTATAAAATCCAAAGGAACATTGAAGAAAATAAAAATTGCGGTTTAAAGGCGAGAAACTGAAAATTAAAAAATCGGGAAAATGAACAATAAAAAACAAGAACCTGAAGAATTTAGGAAACGAAAGATTGAGAAATCGAAAAATGAAAAACTGGATTAATTTTTCAAAATTTCGATTTCATAATTTTTAAATTTTAATTTTTTCGGTTTTAAGTTTCCTCAACTTACGATTTTTCGTTTTTCTATTTTTTTTTGTTTGTTTTTTCAGTTCCTAGATTTTGTAATTTTTCGATTTAAAATTTCTCGAGGTTTCAGTTTTTAATTTTTCAATTTTTCAAATTTCATGTCTGCAGTTTTTCGTTTCGGTTTTTTATTTTTTCAATTTTTCGGCTTTTCAATGGTTTGATTTTATAATTTTGTTTTTCAATTTGAAATTTTTTAATTTTGGATTTCTCAGATTTTTGATTAGCAATTTTCAGTTTTCAATTTTTCAATTTTTCAAATTTTAGATTTTTGAATTTTTACGTTTCTTAATTTTGATTTGCAATTTTCTAGTTTTCGTTTTAAATATGCGATAATAATTACTCCTATAATTTAAAATAATTATCAGTTTTTCAGTTTTAACATTTTAGATTTTTTTCATTTATCAGTTGAATTAATTTAACAATTGAATTTTTCAATTTTTCGATTTTTCAATTTTTCGATTTTTCAATTTTTTCCAATTTTTTAGTGTTAATTTTGCCATTTAACTTTTCGAATCAACAAAATGAAAAAATTGTAAAAATGTTAAACGGAAAAATCAAAAATGAAAAAAAAATTAAAAATTGGAAATCAAGAATTTGAAAAATTGAATTTTGTTTCTTTCAATGTGAAATTTTTCAATTTTTGGATTTTTCAAATTTTCGATTTGCAATTTTTCATTTTCAATTTTTCGATTTTTCAGTTTTCTGATTTTTCAATTTTTGATTTGCAATTTTTCTAGCTTTCGTTTTAAATATGCAATAATAATTATAAAAAAATATCATTTTTTCAATTTTAACATTTTAAAATTTTTCCATTTATCAATTGAATTGATTCAATTTTAAAACATTTTCATTATTCCGATTTTACAATTTTTGGGTTTTCCAAGAAAAAGCGAATCGAATCCAGAGGTTCCTTTTTTTTCTTCTTTCCAATTTCTCGAATTTTTTTCGATTGGTAAGCTTCTCGATTTTTATTTTTCAATGTCTCAATTTTTCGTTTCTTCAGTTTTTCGAATTTCGACTTTTTAACTTTTCGAATAAAAAAAAATGGAAAAATTGCAAAACTGTGAAACTGAAAAATTAAAAATGAAAAAAAGGAAAAAGTATAAAATGAAAACTTTGAAAGTCTAAAAATTAGAAATCAAGAACTTGAAAAATTGAAGAAACGAAATTGTAAAATCGAAACATTGTAAAATCAAAATATTAAATACTAAAAAAATCTGAAAAACGGAGAATTAGAAATCCAAAAATCAAAAAATGAAAATTTAACAAATTGAACAAACGAAAAATTATAAAATCCAAAGAAACATTGAAAAAAACAAAATTTGTGATTTAAATTCCAGAAAATGAAAATTCAAAAATCGGGAAAATGAACAATAAAAAATCAGGAACTTCAAAAACTGGAATTTCGAAGAATGACAAACTTGGGAAATTGCAAAACAAAAAACTGAAAAATTTAATAGTCGAGAAGTTGAAAAAGCAGAGTTAAATTTCAAAATGTTGTTATTCGTTCAATTTTCATTTTTTCCAAAAATTTGGATGTCAAGGGTGAAAACTCATCACGGATTCATACACCACAAGTTCAGGAGTACCTTATTTTATAAAATTAGAAACTGTTGTAAATTTTTGAAATAAATATAAATAAATAATAAAAAAATGGTGTATTTCAAAATAGGTTACAGACCCAATTACAGGAAATCTACAAAGAACAAAAGTAATATATATCACAAAAAATAGTAATACTAAAAAAGAATAAATCTATCAAAAAAGTTAGGAAGAAAATAATACAATTTCAACGAAATAAATATAAATAAATCTTCTGGAGATGACGTCATCCATTTGGTGGGTGTCCAAATTTTGGTTAGCGTTTCATCATCTACACGATGTCCTAATATATATACAAAATTTGATAACAATCGGTCCAGTGGTTTCGAAGATTACGTGTCTAATAAAAATCGACACAGACGACAGACAGACAGACGGAAACGAGAGATCACCTTTTTGTACTCTAGGGGTCATGAAACGTCGATTTTGTTGAAATTAAAAGAAAAAAACTGAGTCGTTCATGAGTGGACGCAGATTTGAACTTGCTGGACCTTTACAGAGTTTTATTTGTATTTTACAAAGAAACGTTTCGTAGCATATTTTCTGAAGTAAGACCACCTCGAGTCAAAATTTTTTTTCATATTTGATAAACATAAAACTGCAACTTACCTAGGCGATTGAACAAAAGAAATTGAAGTCTTTTTTTGTTTCTTCAGTTTTTCGATTTTCTAACTTTTGAATTTTGCATTTTTTCGATCTGAGTATCTCGAGATTTCAATTTTTAATTTTTCCATTTTTCGATTTGCAGTTTTTCGTTTCGGTTTTTTAGTTTTTTTAATTTTTCAAGTTTCAATTTTTATATAAAATTTTTGTATTTTAAATTTTAATTTTTTCAGTTTTACGTTTTTCAATTTTTTTATTTTTTTGTTTATTCAGTTTTAATATTTTGTAATTTTTCGATTTAAAATCTCTCGAATTTTCAATTTATAATTTTTCGATTTTTCAATTTTTCATTTGTTCAATTTTTTAACTTTTTTGCTTTTCAATGGTCTGAAAATTACAATTTTGTGTTTTCAAATTTTAAAATTTTCAGATTTTTGATTTGCAATTTTTCAGTTTTCGATTATTCGATTTTTTTATTTCTCAGTTTTAGGTTTTCAGTTTTCCGGTTTTTCAATTTTTCGTCTCTTCAGTTTTCCGATTTTTCAATTTTTTTGAAATATTAGTGTTTCGATTTTTTAATTTTGCGATTTTTTAGCCTTTCGAATCAAAAAATTGGGAAAATTGCGAAACTTAAACTGAAAAATCAAGAGGAAAAAAAGGAAAAACTATAAAATGAAATCGAGAATTTGAAAAATTGAAGAAACGAAAAATTCTGACTTAAAATCTGAAAATGAGCAATGAAAAGCAAGAACCTGAAAAATTCAAGAAACAAAAGATTGAAAAATTGAGAAGCCGAAAATCGAAAAATGAAAAGCTGGAATTTTTTATTTCAAAGTCTCGATTTTATAACTTTTGTGTTTTAAATTTTAATTTTTTCATTTTTACGTTTCTTCAATTTGTGATTTTTCCTTTTTTTAGTTTTTTTTTTGTTTCTTCAGTTTCTAGATTTTGTGATTTTTCTATTTCAAATTTCTAGAGTTTTCAATTTTTAATTTTTCGATTTTCCATTTCGGTTTTTCATTTTTAATTTTTTCAATTTTTCGGCTTTTCAATGGTTTGATTTTATAATTTTGTTCTTTTCAATGTGAAAATTTTTGATTTTTGGATTTTTCAATTTTTCGATTTCTAATTTTTCAGTTATCAATTTTTCGATTTTTCAAATTTTACATTGTTTAATTTTTGGGTTTTTCAGTTTCCCGTTTTTTTCAATTTTTCATTTTTACAATTGCAGGGTTTTCGAAGAAAAACGAATCAAATAAGAACATTCGTTTTTTCTTTCTTCCAATTTTTCGATTCAATAATTTTTTTCGATTGATAAGCTTCTCGATTTTTATTTTTCAATGTTTTAATGATTTTTTAGTGTTAAGATTTTTTAAGTTTTGTAATCAAAAAATGGAAAAATTGTAAAACTGTTAAATTGAAAAATCAAAAATGAGAAAAAGGAAAAAATATAAAATGGAAACTTTGAAAAGTCTAAAAATTGAAAATCAAGAACTGGAAAAATTGAAGTAACGAAGAATTGAAAAATTGAAAAAGCGAAACAATGTAAAATCGAAATATTGAATATTAAGGAAATCTGAAAATCGGATAATTAGAAATCCAAAATCCAGGAAGTGAAAAATCAAAAATTGAAAATTTAAAAAATTGAATAAACGAAAAATTATAAAATCCAATGAAACATTGAAGAAAACAAAAATTCTGACTTAAAATCGGGAAAATGAGCAATGAAAATCAAGAACCTGAAAAATTCAGGAAACGAAAGATTGAAAAACTGAGATACCGAAAATCGAAAAATGAAAAGCTGGAATTTTTTTTTCAAGTCTCGATTTTATAACTTTTGTATTTTAAATTTTAATTTTTTTCATTTTTACGTTTCTGCAATTAGCGAATTTTCCTTTTTTTAGTTTTTTTTTGTTTCTTCAGTTTCTAGATTTTGTGATTTTTCTATTTAAAATTTCTGGAGTTTTCAATTTTTAATTTTTCGATTTTTCATGTCTTCAGTTTTTCGATTTGCAATTTTTCATTTCAGTTTTTCATTTTTTTATTTTTCAATGTTTCGGCTTTTCAATGCTTTAATTTTATAATCTTGTTCTTTTCAATGTGAAATTTTTTACTTCTTGGATCTTTCAAATTTTATATTGTTTAATTTTTGATTTTTCAGTTTCCCGTTTTTTCAATTTTTCATTTTTACAATTTCAGGATTTTCGAAGGAAAACGAATCAAAGCAAAACATTCGTTTTTTCTTCCTTCAAATTTTTCGATTCAATAATTTTTTTCGAATGATAAGCTTCTCGATTTTTATTTTTCAATGTTACAATAATTTTTTAGTGTTAAGATTTTTTAAATTTTGTAATAAAAAAAATGGAAAAATTATAAAACTGGTAAATTGAATAATCAAAAATGAGAAACAGGAAAAAATATAAAATGGAAACTTTGAAAAGTCTAGAAATTGAAAATCAAGAACTGGAAAATTGAAGTAACGAAAGAATTGAAAAATTGAAAAAGCGAAACAATGTAAAATCGAAATGTTGAATATTAAGGAAATCTGAAAATCGGATAATTAGAAATCCAAAATCGAGGAACTGAAAAATCAAAAATTGAAAATTTAAAAAATTGAATAAACGAAAAATTATAATCCAATGAAACATTGAAGAAAACAAAAATTCTGACTTAAAATCGGGAAAATGAGCAATGAAAATCAAGAACCTGAAAAATTCAGGAAACGAAAGATTGAAAAACTGAGAAACCGAAAATCGAAAAATGAAATTCTGGAATTTTTTTTCAAAGTCCCGATTTTATAACTTTTGTATTTTAAATTTTAATTTTTTTCATTTTTACGTTTCTTCAATTGGCGATTTTTTGTTTTTTTAGTTTTTTTTGTTTCTTCAGTTTCTAGATTTTGTAGTTTTTTTATTTAAAATTTCTAGAGTTTTCAATTTTTAAGTTTTCGATTTTTCGATTTTTCATGTCTTCAGTTTTTCGATTTGCTATTTTTCGTTTCTTTTTTTTATTTCTTATTTTTTCAATTTTTGGGCTTTTCAATGGTTTGATTTTATAATTTTGTTCTTTTCCATGTGAAATTTTTCAATTTTTGGATTTTTCAATTTTTCTGTTTTCTCGATTTTTCAAATTTTAGATTTTTAAATTTTTCGGTCTTTTAGTGTTTCGATTTTTTAATTTAGCCATTTTTTAACGTTTGTAATAAAAAAATCGAAAAATTGTAAAACTGTTGAATTGAAAAATCAAAAATGAGAAAAAAGAAAAAGTATAAAATGGAACTTTGAAAAGTTTAAAAATTGGAAATCAAGAACTTGAAAAATTGAAGAAACGAAAAACTGAAAAATCGAAAGATTAAAAATTGAGAAACTTAGAAACCGAAAAATTATAAAATCGAAAAAACGAAACATTGTGAAGTGGAAATATTAAAATAAACTAAAATCCAAAAAAACATGGAAAAAACAAAAATTTGTAGAAACGAAAAATTATGAAACCAAAACATTGAAAAATGATAAAAAATTAATTTTGTGAGAGGAAATAAACGAATAAATTTTGATTAACGGTTTACCGCGATCACGTTTTACCATCTACACAATAGCGCTAATATACCGTGTGTTTATTAATTATTTAGATCAAAGGAAGTGCGATTTTGAACATGTCTTCTCGGTTCCGGGTATTTGTCAGAGTATGCAATTAAATAAACATGAGTGTAATGTTGGTTGCATATTGACATAAATCAATTTAGAAACGAACGTTGTAAAAATCCCCAGAGAAAACCATTTTGCACTTTTATTTTTAAAAAATTCGAAAACTTGACGTTTCAAACACCAACGCAGCTGAATGTATCAAAGACAATAATAATTTATCAATTTAACACACAGCCTCCACTGATCTAAAACAGAAGATCACTTTTTTCAATTCAAAATTTCAAACGTCGATTTTGTTGAAATTAAAGAAAAAAATGAGTCGTTCACGGTGGACGCAGATCTGAACTAGCTGGACCTTCACAGAGCTTTATATGTATTTTACGAAGAAACGTTTCGTGGTATATTTTTGAAGACCACGTCAAGTCAACTTTTAAAAACAACTTACCGATTTTTTTTCATATTTAATAAACTTAAAATTGCAACTTACCTAGGTGATTGAGCAAAGGCTTCCTGTGTGTGCGGTGTTGAGCTCATCTAAGACGCTGTGTTTGTGAATTCGTGCAAGAATTTTCGATACTGGTGAAATGAAAGCATCTACATACTTATACTAATGCACATTTTATTGTAATGTACGTACTTATAAAGTTAATACAGTGATGATACTCGATACCATCTATGTGGCAAAACAAAACATAATTATTTATTTAACTGGAACCAGCATAACTGAAAACTTAACATGAAAGTAGAAACTTACAACATGTATAAAAATTATCAAAACGATTCGAAATCAGAAAAAGCAGAACGTTTTGATAAGCTTTTTACAATGGACAGGTATATAACTTTAAAAACTATCAACTACGAGTATAAATAAAACAATTTGAAAAATTTCAATTAACAGTACAAAAAATGTTGATCGTTTGGTCATTAGTCTAGGTATCACAACACCAAACTATAGTTGTTTATCGTACACTGACAATATTTTACATTGAAAAATATATCTTTCGAAACGAACAGCATTTGGTTACCGGACTAAAAACAAAAGAGGAAATTAAGCGAAAGTGAACACTAAAATTCAGCATTTTAGTGGAAAATACAGTGTTAGTGTTAGTGGAATCTAATTAACTCTATGAATAATATACAATTTATTATTCTCAAGTAATACATGCATTTCGTACACGGGCACATGCTGTATCAGTAAGTTAATATTACTTGTCAAATGTATTTCAACCACTTTTATGTGAATAGTTATACAACTATTTCAAGTATCAACTGGTCTAATAGTAAAGACGGCACATTAATCAAAAACATAAAATTAACGCTCTTGGTTGAGATTCTCGTCAGCTACTGGACCTCCGGCTTCCGGTTGGGACGGCAAGGAATTCTACACAAAATTTAATCGTTAATAAAAAGCTAGCAAAACCAAAATAACGATAATAAAAAGCGCCAACTGTGTCTTTAGAAGAAACACTACACGTTCTCAAGAGAATACTGTGAGATGATTATATCACATGCAGTTATCAATCAACTGATTGCAGCTAAGTTAATCAACGACACGAAGATCCATGCCTTTAGAAACAAGTGTTAGTTAAGTCTCGAATACAAAATTTAACCCGAAATGCTTTAGTTACCTCCCGGACCTAACTGAAACGGAACGACTCAATAAAATTTGTAAAGATATTCGCTCTCCTGGAAGAAAACCATACGAAAGTCAGTCTTTAGGATCTCGATCGCGCAACTGCACTAAGTCCATTTCAAAATCGGCAGCAACTGATCGGTAAATACATGTCCAGAGGGAACACTCACCTGGGAACCCGACAGCGAGTGGTTCTCGCTCGAAATGGTCGACCTTTGCTTCAGGTACTCCTTGTCGTCGAAGATCTTCTTCTCGCCGCCCCCGGGCCGGTGCTTCACGTTGTCCATGCTCCCGACCTTGCTCTGGGCCTTGATGTCCAGCTTCTTGTTCTCGATCTAGCAAACACACTAGTTAAATCCCGACCACAACTCTACTATTATTATCAATATTATTATTATCATTTTCAAATATGACGAAAAAAAGGGTGCGTTAACTTGGCACCACCAAGTTAATGAATTTTACTCAAAAGCTAGCACCTCGTTTCAATTTTACAATGTTTCATTTTGCAATTTTTCGAAATTTTTTGAAAATCGATTAGAAAAATTGAAAAAAAACTGGAAATTCAAAAATTCGAAACCTCGAAAAACCGAAAATTGAAAAATTGAAAATCGAAATTTAAAAACTGAAAAATCAAAAATAACACGAACATTCGAAAAACCAAAAATCGAAAAAACGGACATTCAAAAATTCGTAACCTCGAAAAATCGAATAATTGAAAAACTGAAAATCGTGTAAAATTTTAAAAATTATTAAAATTTAAAATACAAAAAATTATAAAATCGAAACCTTGAAAGAAATCCAGTTTTCATTTTTCGATTTTCAATTTCACAATTTTTATTTTTTCGATTTTTCAACATTTCTTTTCCTGAATGTTTCAGATTCTTGATTTTTATTGTTCATTTTCCCGATTTTTTAATTGCCATTTGTTCGATTTTAAATCACAATTTTAAATCACAAATTGTTTTTTTTTCAGTGTTTCTTTGGATTTTATAACTTTTCGTTTATTTTTTTTTATTTTTAATTTTTGATTTTTCAGTTTCTTGAGTTTTTAGAAATTCATTTAGCCCATTTTCAGGTTTCCTTAAGATTCTAAAATTTGAAATATCGAAAAATTGGAAACTGAAAAATTGCAAATCGAAAATTGAAACATCCAAAAACCAATTTTCACATTGAAAAGAACAAAATTATAAAATCAAACCATTGAAAAGACGAAAAATTGAAAAAATTAAAAATAAAAAACAGAAACGAAAAATTGCAAATCGAAAAATTAAAAATTGAAAACATTCAAATTTAAAATACAAAAGTTATAAAATCGAGACTGAGAAAAAAATTCCAGCTTTTCATTTTTCGATTTTCGGTTTCTCAGTTTTCCTGAATTTTTCAGGTTCTTGATTTCATTTTCCCGATTTTAAGTCAGAATTTTTGTTTTCTTCAATGTTTCATTGGATTTCATAATTTTTCGTTTATTCAATTTTTTAAATTTTCAATTTTTGATTTTTCAGTTCCTGGATTTAGGATTCCTAATTATCCGATTTTCAGATTTCCTTAATATTCAATATTTCGATTTTACATTGTTTCGCTTTTTCTATTTTTCAATTCTTCGTTACTTTTGGAAATTCGAGGAACTGAAAAATTGAAAATTGAGAATTTAAAAATCAGGAAAACATTTTCAATTTTACGATTTTTCAGTTTTTAAATTCCGATTTTCGATATTTCAAATTTGGATTTTTCATTTTTCAATTTTTTTGATTTAGATTTTTCTAGGTTTCGAATTTTTGAATTTCCAGTTTCTCGATTTTCAATTTTTCAAATATTTGATTAATCGATTTTTAGATTTTTCTAATCCATTTTCAATTTATCGAAATCTCGACCATCGACTTTTCAGTTTTACGAATTTATGATTTTTCGATTTCCCGAATTTTCAATGTTCAATTGTCCGATTTTTCAATTTTTCGACTTTCAATTGGTAGAATTTTCAATTTTTCGATTTTTCCATTCTTGATTGTTAGATTTTTAATTTTTCGAATTTTTGATTTTTCGAATTTTCGATGATTCGAATTTTCAATTTTACGATTTTTCGACTTTTCGATTTTTTAAATATTTAATAATAATAATAATAATAATAATAATACGTTTATTCATTCCAACAGACGTTAGTCTATGGTGGACATGTATACACAAAAAGACATTAAATTCAGCTTAAACTAAACTTACAATTTAAAAAAAAATCTAAAAAAAAAAAAAAATTAAATCTAACATCAGAACAAATATTATGTACATATATTATTGTGCATATCGTGCTAATAACTTTTTTTTGAAAGATGCTTTATTAAAATTAGCGTGAAAAATATCAATGCTATCGTCTAAAGTACAGTTATTATAAAGTCTAAAACATGTAATTAAGGGGCTATTAAAGTGATGATAAGAATTTGGAATTTGATAGTAAAAAGTGGATGGATTTCTGCACAATAAACGAGGAACACAAAAGTTAATATTATTTAGTAACGCTGGACAGAATATATCACCACGCACCAATTTCTGCAAAAATACAAAACAAGCAATATTTCGTCTATACTCGAGAAAATTTTCATTCACTATATTAAGAAGAGCTCTCTGGTTACAATGACTAACAGGATAACAGTTGAACATTTTAAAATACAGATACTTAGCAAATTTCCTGTTAACGTTTTCTATAATATTAATATAAATTTGGTGATGAGGTCTCCAAATTATAGAACAGTATTCTAACTTTGACCTAACTAGACTATAATAAAGCTGTTTAATACATAAAATATTATTAAATTCTTTAGTATTTCTACAGATGAAGCCAAGTGTTTTGATAGCTGAATTTGTTATATCAATGATATGAGGAACAAATGACAATGCAGAGTCTACAATTATGCCTAAATCGCGTATTTGATTACAGTTTTCTAGCAAAGTTCCATTAATATTGTAATAAAAATTAAAATTAGTGTCTTTCCTGGAGAATGTAATTTTTCTACATTTTTTTTTATTAAGGCTTAACTTATTCTGTTCACACCACAGCGCTAATTTATCTACATTATCTTGTAAAACTAAACAATCTCTGTTCGTTTTTATTACTTTAGCTATTTTTAAATCATCGGCATATATAAACGCTCTACAACTAATAACATTTAGGACATCATTGAAGAAAACAGTAAATAACAGCGGGCCTAGGTTTGAGCCTTGAGTAACTCCGCTGTTAACAGGAAATAATGTTGACTGGACTCCATGAATTTCAACAAATTGTTCCCTACCAAACAGGATATTTCTAAAAATCATTACTAGCTGATGACATATTCCTAATGTATCAAGTTTTTTTAACAATATGCAATGATCTACTCTATCAAAAGCTTTGGATAAATCAGTGTATATGGCATCAACTTGAAAGCGATTATCTAAAGCCAAGGATACGTATTCGGTGAATTCACATAAATTGGTGAGAGTGGATCTTCCTTTTATAAATCCATGCTGTTCTAAGGCAATTGTTGAAATACAGTGGGTATATAGGAAGTCTGACATAATACATTCAAATAATTTAGCATAGTTCGATATAAGTGCTATCGGTCTGTAATTTACAATGTTAGCTTTGTCACCAGCTTTAAACACAGGAAATACACGAGAGACTTTCCACATTTGTGGATAAATAGACGACTTTAAAATTAAGTTGTATATATGACATAAAGGTTTTAACAAATACTGAAGACAATCAATCACTAAAAATGCCGGTATATCATCTGGACCACAAACGAAATTTGGTTTAATTTTTTTCGCAGCTTTTAAAATATCACAGTCATTAATCACAGGCAGGTTGAATATGAGATTGTTATCACAGACAGAATTATCACAGATGGAATTATCACAAATAGGATTATCACTTACTAAAGAGCATCGGCAGCTTCCGCAGTATTCACAGTTAATTTTATTACAACTTGATGCAACACAGGTTACACATATTTAGTTGATTTAATTTTTCTATTCGATTTTTTTTTTCGAAATCTCGATCTTCGAGTTTTCGATTTTTCGATTGTTCAAAATTTCGATTTATCAGTTTTTAGATTTTTCGATTTTTTTTATTTTTAATTTTAGGTTCAAAATGTTTCGAACTTTTGAATTTTCGATTTTTCGACTTTTCCCTTTTCGATTGTTAAATTTTCTATTTTTCGAATTTTCGAATTTTCGATTTTTCGAATTTCCTCTTTATTGATTTTTCGAATATTTGATTATCGATTTTTTGATTTTCGATTTTCAGTTTTTCAATTATTCGATTTTTCGAGGTTACGAATTTTTGAATGTGCGTTTATTCGACTTTCGATTTTTCGAATTTCCGTGTTTTTTTAGATTTTTCAGTTTTTAAATCCCGATTTTCGATTTTTCAATTTTCAGTTATTCGAGGTTTCGAATTTCCAGTTTTGAATACTCGATTTTTCAATTTTTCTAATCGATTTTCAATTTATCGAAATCCCGACCTTCGAAAAATTGTAAAATCGAAACGTTGTAAAATTGAAATATTGAATATTAAGGAAATCTGAAAATCGAATAATTATAAATCCAAAAACCCCAAAATTGGCAATTCGAGGAACTGAAAAATCGAAAATTGAAAATTTTAAAAATTGAAGAAACGAAAAATTAAATATAAAATCCAAAGAAACTTCGAAGAAAACAAATTTTCTGATTTAAAATCGAGAAAATGAAAATTAAAAAAATCGCGAAAATGAGCAAGGAAAAATCAAGAACCTGAAAATTTCAGGAAACTAAAGATTGAAAAATTGAAAAATTAAAAATTGAGAAACTGAAAATCGAAAAATAAAAAATTGGATTTTTTTTTCAAAGTCTCGTTTTTATAACTTTTGTATTTTGAAGTATAATTTTGTCATTTTTACGTTTCTTCAATTAGCGTTACTGAAAAATCGTAAAATTGAAAAATCTAAAATTGAAAATATTTTCCCGATTTTTAAATTCTCAATTTTCGATTTTTCAGTTCCTCGAATTTCCAATTTTGGAGTTTTTGGATTTCTAATTATCCGATTTTCAGATTTCCTCAACATTCAATATTTAAATTTTACAATGCTTCGATTTTACAATTTTTCAGTTTCTAAATTTCTCAATTTTTAATAGTTCGATTTTTCAATTTTTCGTTTCTTCAATTTTTCAAGTTCTTGATCTCCAATTTTTAGAGTTTTCAAAGGTTTTATTTTACACTTTTTCCTTCTTTTCATTTTTGATTTTTCTATTTAACTGGTTTGCAATTTTCCTATTTTTTGATTCGAAAATTTTTGGATGTTCCAAATTTCCAGTTTTTCGACTTTTCAGT